TCGCCCAAAAAGATGCCGGTGTGCACCGTGTGCACGTTGCAACACGCTCGGAGTGGCAAAGCATTTCAAGCTATGTCAAGGTGCAAGTAGCGCAATTGCACCAATCGGCGAAGCCATGCTAACTTCCTTAACCTCCTGCAGCCTGTCTAAGCCGAAGCATTCGAAGCACTAGTGTCCTCAAGTGTCCTCAAGTGTGCTATGTCAGGCAGCTGCCGCGGCCCTGGCCCAAGGCTGGAGATCGACCTTGGCAACTTCACAGTGGCCTGGCCAAAGGGGAACGACCAGGGATGGAGGTTTGAGGAAGCTGTGGTTGGTGGATGGGGGGGGAAACATGAAGAACTGTCTCGAGGCTGTAGGAATGCAACAGGAGGCGCAACATAAAGGGCAACCTGTAGCCACTGCAACATACTGCCGTCAGGTAATCCTGGATCCTTCGGACATTGCCCGCCTGGAGTTTATTGACGAGGGTGCCTTGCACCAGAGACCGATGCTCGCGATGTAGTGCTCTCCCTTTATGCAAGTGTATGACTGTATTCGCAGCTTATTAGCAGCTTTCTGCATGCAAATCAGCAAGCTTGGATTGCCAGATTCAGCGGAGACCAGCGAGACGCGGGACGATTCGCAAGTCCCTCCAAAAGCGTCAGAGGTCAGGGACCAAGCCGTCCAAGCAAAAGGTCGTGACATTGCCAGGGCTTTCCCAACTCAAGGATCAGGTGCAAATTGCTGGCAGTGCCGAGCGTCTATGCTCCGACCTGTCACCCCCTCAAGCCCGTGCCCTCAACCCTTGAGAGGTTCGGGGTATGAATCATTGAAGCCACTTGGAACACAGGTGCAGAGCAACGCTAGCAGCAACAACATGCTGCTGTCCTCAGGCGTCGGCTTGGTAGAGCAGACAGTTTGGGGTTGTTTGGGGCTTGGAGTCCCGTTCAAGCTTCATCTGTAGACATCGATGAGCAAGGTTTTCGCAGCGCTTCGCTTCAAATAACCTCAATCGTTTGCTCCCCAACAAATTTTCCACGGACATATGCATAGCTAATAGATAAGACAGATACCTACCTACCTACATACATACATACATACAGATAATGAGGAACATGTGAAAGCCGAAAGCTGTTGAGAAGGCTCAACACAAGAAAGGGAATGAAGCCGGCACAGAGTGCAAAGCTCGTGGGCATGGCAAGACCAGGTGCTGCGCTCGCTTCGGCAGAGCCCGAAGCCACCGAAGCCCCAAGCTGCGTGTGGCCCTGAGTTTTTGCGCACTGCATTTCGCCAGAAGGGCGAGAAGCCAGCACAGACCAGCCCTCTCGAAGAAGAAGAATGGAAAAGGTACCCATGTTGATGCACATCGACCTGCCAGAGCCGCTCCACCCGAAGACGCTGATCCTCGGGGAGCCGGTGCTGCAGAGGCCGGTTGCTTCGAAGGGGTCGCTGGGGCCTCTTGCTCTCTGGTCTACTGAGTCTATACGTGGAAGTGGGCAGCAACCGCCAAAGAGGGGCACCCCCCAGAGGGGCACTCTGTGGGCCATATTGAGCCAAGGTACTACACAGTGTTCGATGCCCGTGCTCCGCGGGTCGGATTCGCTGCTGCGTACCATGCGCAGGCCACCGGGTTCTGCGCCCATGCCCTTGCTGTGCAGCAGTTACCACCCCACCCGAATTCACGAGGCCAATGGCCCTCACAGCATAGCTCGATTATTGTAGGACAGGCTGAACAGGGTGTTCGAATCAGGTTGTGCCTCGAGCTTCCCCCAGATCTCGCAAGAGAAGAGTCTTGTCTTCCGAGGGCGGCGAGGCAGCAGAGATGTGAGAAGAGGACCTCCACAATTTTCAACAAGGGAGCAGTCTTACTGCACGTAGCTGGCTTGGCGCCTGCAGCAGGGTTGCTTTGTGAAGCCGCTCTCAGGGTTCCGAAGGTGTACCGTGCCTGACTCAGCTTACGTGCAAGGACTGCTTGACCAGCAGCACACTTGGGGCACATTTTAGTATCATTTCAGCATTGTACAGTGCATGTCATGGGGGTGTGAAGGCAATGGGAGTGGGGATCTCCAGGCAGACGTAGTTGCGGGACAAAGTCAAAAAAGCTGGAAGACCTCCATGGGCCTTTATGGCATGACTCATGACAGGCCCCAGTCCCCTCTTGCCATCTCGTCCCGGTGACTTCATGTTCGAATTCTCGTTGACCCAGCACGACAGACGTCTTGCTGCGCCGGCGCTTTGTGGGAACTGTTCGTGGGAGAGGGCCAGCACCGTGCAGCAGAACTGCAGCAGATGGGGCTAAGTCGGACGGAAGAAGTGCAGTTCCCATTTCGTTTCCTTGCCTACAGAATTCGTCTGCATTTGTCCATGCCCTGGGAGCGGCGCAAACGCCAACGTGCCTGGGTAGAGAGTCAGGGATGTCAGGGTGATCTGGAGTTCTAGTATACTATGCTTTTTCTGGCGACTAGCGAAGCCGAAAGGCGTACACCAGGTCTCGAGAGGAGATTGGTTTCCGTCGCTCCCCCCGTCGTCCAAGGAGCGAGGGCAATCGCCACATATCGCCGTATTGAAATCACGGAAATCGTTTTGGCGGGACCTATTGAGAGTCGCAGAGCTTCTAAGTCATTCAATGAAGTCATGTCAGTATGCGACCGGCATAAAGACCTGATGTCGTCAGAAGTCCAGCCAGGAAGAGCGATCTTCATCGGCCCAAACGTGCAGTTCGTAAAGTTCGTAGAGTTCGCAAAGTTTGGCCCAGCCCGCGATCCTTGGACCCATGCCGTCGTAGGGCAGAAACATCCGGGAAGGCCGTGCCTAAGCGATGCTAGGCTCTGAGTCTCTGACGTAGGGATCCCCAGTCCGAAGCGGCCTTCCCGTGATGGCGCGGCTGTGGCCGATCAGGCTCTCAAAACTGCAAAGTCCCGGGCTCTGGAATGGGGGCCTGGGCTTCTGTATGTTTCTGTAAGTTTCTGGGATTGGGAAGGGCTGTCAGATGTTGTGTGGGTGACATGTCTCCGCATCTCTCCACGACAAGGCCGTTTGGGCCCGAGCAACGAGGAAACTGCGAAACAGGTCAACAGACCACCAAGAGGCTCCTCTTTTGTTGGGCACTCTGGGCACTCTGGGCACTGTATGTATTGCTTACTTCCAATGTTGCGCCTTATGTCTTGCCTTCAGCTGCTCTGAGCACTGAGCACCAGGAAGAGTGCCGGAGGTGCTCCACCGCCACACCTGACCCTCTGAACAGCAGCTCAGTAGCCACCCCCTCAAATTAACAACGTCTCTTGTGGAAAAGCAAACCTGGGGGGCTTTCTCACCCTATGGCGGACAACTTCTCGCAGATCGACCGGCGCTGGCCGCGGCAGGTGTCTGCATGTAATTGCAGGGAGAGAGGTTTTTTTTTGGGGCTGAGATTATGCCACAGCTTCGAAGCCGCCAAGAACCCAGAATGCACCTCGAGTGCAGCCTCTTTCCACAAAATGGCCTGAGAATGTTGATGGATTGAGGGTGTGCCCCTCCCAAGTCGCGAGGTCGCTCCGGACCTGGAGCGCGAGGCGCGGCGGGGGATGCAGCAATGCAGGTGGTCTGAAGCCCCTTTCTGGTTCTGGCTGCGTCGAAGTGCCTGACCACGGTGTGTTTGTTAACTTCCTAGTGAAGGCCTCACGGCTACTACGTTGGGCCGAGGAGGCTGGGAGCGAATCGCTAAAGAATGCTCAAGCTGAGAGTGCGAATGGGCGTCAAGATAGTTCAGGATATGTCAAGTCGTGCTGCGGATTGCTGGTAGGCAGAGTTGACGTTGAACTTGAACGCTTGTTGATTCTCCTCTCACATCCCTTCTGCGAGAAATGCTAGCCGTTTGCTGTCATGCATAGCTCTACATTCCAACTCTTGGCGCAGGACGCGTGGGGAAGCGGCAAGGGCGCGCAAAGAAGTGCCACTTCTGCAGTGAGTTGCGTGAGCGGCGCTCGATGTGATCGTCAGCATCTTCATGCGCGACGTATCGCGCCTGTTTCAGTTGGGGTTTCGGTATCGGAGCCATTCGGAGCCCAGAGCCCCCAAGAGCCTCAGGTGCATGGCCAAAGCCTGGAGTGCCACTGTGCCCGAATCCGTCGCCTGCACAGGCCTCGTGGCGCTCTGTGAAACTACGTCTGTTCACACGTGTTCACGGGTATACAGCGCATGTTTTCAAGCTTCAAGCAGATTCTGCTCAACCGGTCTCGCCGCAAAGTAGCACTTGGACTGCGAACCTGCCTTTGCTAGGGCTCGTCCGTGCTGGGTGGGCCGCAGGCTGGGCGGGTGCAAAAGTTTTTGTTTTCAGGGATCACAAGTCTTCTCCCGCATGAAGAGCCGCTCCACTCTTCATTGAAGTTTGTGTTCCAAAGCAACTTTTGATTGTTGTTGCAGACTTGCTCACTATCCATGTCCAAGCTGCAGAGCACAAGCTTGCCCCGCCTGGCCGCACCAGAGGAAGACCCCTGGGAAACAATCCTGGCCACTGGTGACGAGAACTTTGTGGAAGCTGCCGTGCTGCATTTTTCGGCGACCATTCCCTTCAACCCCGCTCCCTCCCCTCCCTCTCTCCTTCCCTCTGTTCCCCTCAAATCTTGAAATCTTTCCTTACGGGGAGCCGGGGAGACTCTTAGGTCCCGACGGTGCTTCTGGAGCGCCTCCGGAGGGCCGGCGAGGCGAGGCTCAGCCTACCAAGGAGGTTGTCGGGTTGGACCTCAGCACGGAACTTCAGCCTCGGCCTGCTTAGCCATTTCCAGCAGTTGCTTTAGAAGGTTGGAAGGATTGGTTCGGAGCCTCTTCAGGCTCGAGGAGTTACCCCTACCACCCCTCCAGCGGGTGACATGTGTGTGCATGCGTGCTGTCTGTGTGTGTCTCTGTGTGTCTCTCTGTGTGTGTGTGTGCGCGCGCACGTGTGCGCGTGCCAGTGACGAGTTTCTGATGTTTCTGGCATTGACATGTTGGTTGAGGCGCAGCTCGCTGAAATCACGGAGCTCCGGGCGCAGCTGGCGCAGCTGCCTTTCGTGGAGGCGCTATTCAGTGTGCTGGGGCCATTTTGGGTCATCATTTTGTTGCAGCTTCTTCGAGGGTTGAACGGTTTTCTTGAGTTGCCTGTGTTAGGAAGCCAACTGCATTCCTCCCATTGCAAGAGTTTCTCCTTTTGTTGGTGTTGCAATGCATCCGGCAGGTTTTGCTTGACAGTCCGGGTAGGGGCTTCAGGATTGAGGCTGAAAGGATTCGGAAAGTAAATGTTCTGGTCTGGTCTGGCGATTCCTCGTATATCCTTCACTGCAGGTCTTCTTGTCGCGACCGCTGAAGTCAAGCCTTGCAACCTGAATCGAACCCGCCCTCCATCCCCACGCACGATAGACCTGACATGCTTCGCACAGGGAATCTGGTGATAAATTGATGAGAATTGCTTGAAACGGCTCTGCAGAACGACTTGGGACGTACGTATGTACGGTTGTGATTCCGGCGCGCCCCGACTTCGCGGATCTTTTTTGAGACATTTCCCCACAGATGGTTTGGAGCCCATATTGGAGCCCATTTGATCTCCTTGTGTAGTCGTTTACGGGCTCCTGAGTCGACTCATGCAGAAGTTATATATCGATCTAAGTGAGCACCACTCTTCCCCCCTGTTACTTCCCCCCCCCTCCCCTCACTCCCCTCTCTCTTTTTTTGCTAATTGAAGCGTTTTTTTGTGAGCGTTCTCTCGGAGGCCTCAAAGCGGTCCCCCTCTTTCCCTCCTCTTTTTTGCATTTTTTTAGCGTACTCTTCCCTCCTGAGTGTCTCTTGAGGCTAAAAGAAAAAGGCCGCTTGCATCAAGCCCTTGCGAAAGGACGGACCTACTGGTTCTGGCGAGGTTTTTGGACCATTTTTTGGACTCTCTGCTTTCGCTGCTCCGTTTTTTCTCTCTCCATGTTTTTGCGCGCATTCTCCTCTTCAAATCTTGCCTAATTGGGGCCGGAACCCTTCGCACTGCGGAGAGTAGCGTTTTTACACTTGCCTGGTTTCACGTACCAGGCGCGTGGCAGGCAGTTTGTCAGGTTGTTTTTTGTTACAAGCCGTGTCCGATGATTGCGTCCATGTTACCAGTGCGCGCGGAATTCCAGAGCATCCATGCCCGCACGACGAGTACCCAGTATGGCCATGTTGCCAGTGTGAGGTTTGAGTTTCACGGTTGGGTCCTGAACCCTAAACCTTATAGCCGAGGCAGGGAGGTTCACGCTCCGGCTTGAGTTTGCGGTTCAGCTGTAAACAACCCAAAACCCAAGTTGCCGTGAAAGCCTGGAGGCCCACAACAGAAATCAGGAAGAACATGCCACCTGATCTACACGTAAAAAGCACAAGCATGAGTTCTAAGTTCACCTTGAAAACAAGTCGAAAAGGGAAGACATCGAAAACTAGTTTTTGGTAAACCACACCGGGAAGGCCGATGAACCTCGAGTTCACTCCTCTCTGAACCGAAATTGTAGTTGTGATCCCTCATCGAGTTAATCGAGTTAGCCAAGGGCACAGGACTGAACGCGGTCTATTTGATGCATGCTTTCCACGCAAGTGTTTCAAAGCTGCCCAGGATGAGATCCATCAAATGGAGCAGGAGCTGACGGAGCTGCAAACTACCATTGTCGTCAACGCGAACGAGCAGCTCGGTTGGGAGACTTTGTCCCAGAAACCTACCGAATCGTATGTGTGCCTGAGTTACTGCTTTACTGTTCCCAAAGGCCTTGATGTTGAGCACCCCTTTTAGACCTGAGCTTGGGATCTTCCCAGGATTGAGCTTCGAAACATGGAGGTGCCGCCGTTGACTTGGAGCACTGGGGCTTTGGTAGAGTCAACAGTCAATACGAGGGTGCACATAACTGAAGCCGCATGTCTGACACTCGAGCTACCTGTTCAGGCTTCAGGTTGCTTCTCCTTTTACATGCGCTTGTGGCAGTTGTGACAGTTATGGCAGTTGTGGCTGTCCTTTCCAGGCTGAGTCCCTGAGCCGGGAGACGGAACGCCTCGAGGCCACAAAGGCCCGGGTCCCAGTTGAGAGATCGTGTCTTTGGGAGCAGGTGTCGTTGAGAACCAGCTGTCAAATGTGGACGCACTTCCAGCCACTTGAGAGCTGAGCCGTTAGGCAGAGAGAAAGGATCGCCTGGACATGCTGACCGCGCAGGCACATGTTTTCACGCGGCCGAAGCTGTGTGCGTGCAATGCTCACATACGTCTGCTACGGCTGCTCCTACCCTCACTATGGCGACGACGACGACTACTATTACTCCTACTTCCATGCCTACTCCTACTCCTATACTGCTACTGCTACTTCTACTGCACTGCTACTGCTACTGCTACTGTCACTGCTCCTACTGCTACTACAGCTCCTCCTGCCTCCTGCTGCCGCTGCTACTGCTACTTGCCTGACCTACCGGCTGTAGCGAATAGTTCCTGTCTGCATTGCTCAAGATTACTTCTAGCAGCATGTAGTTCCGATGAGTACCTGTCGTTGCCAGTGGTAGATGATCATGAGCTTCTGATGGTTCTCAACTATACTGCAATGAGCTGCTGGCAGTTCCTAACTATGCTGCTTCTGCTGAGCTGCGGTGCCTGCTCTCAGCAGAGAGGCGGGCGAGATCGAGTTTTGGCTCGATGCCGCGGGGCATGCACCGGCGGGACCCGAGGTAGGTTGCGAGTTTGTGCCTTCGAAGTTTCGCGATGCCCTTCGGAGTCTCGTTGTGGCTTGCTGTTCGCGGGTTTATTTGGGTTTGGCTCATTGCTGAGGGCCGAAGCGCCTCTCGTCCCCAAATTTCCAATCGAGATCGAGACGTGCCGTTGCTCCGATCGTTGTCCGCTTCACTTTCACAGCTGTAGAATCTTTAGAGCCAATGCCACCCGCTTGCACGATCCAAGCTTGAGAAGCCAGTGACTAGAAATTTCGGGAATATGAGCATGAGGAAGCAAGCCAAGCTCGAAGCTCACCCGGACCCGGGGCCCATATGGGCTTAGGAGGGTTGGCGGTTTAGATGGTCCATAGCAGCTTGACCCTCCAACCACGTCGTGCCTAACCAATGGCTCAGAGCCGCCAACCCAAGAGCACGATGGATGAACCAAACAAGTCAGATTACACGACCAAGAAGTCTTCCGAATCCTAAATCCTAAATCCTAAATCCGACTCCTGAATCCTAAATCCCAAACCCTAGATCCTAGATCCCAAATCCTAAATCCTAGATCACAAATCCCAAATCCCAAATCCTAAATCCTAAATCCTAAATCCTAGATCCTAACTCCTCAGTCCTAGACCCTGAATGCTAAATCCGGCTCCTGAACCCTAAATCCCAAACCCTAGATCCTGGATCCTAAATCTTAAATCCTCAATCCTAAACCCTACATCCTAAATCGGCAAAATCTGAAATCCGAATCCTAAATCCTGATTCTTCAATCTTACAGGCCCCAGAGAAACCCCTGAACTCTAAATCCTAAATCCCAGGCCCCAGAGGCCCCTGAACCCTAAACCGTAAATCCTAATCCCGAAATCCCAAATCTGAAGCCCCAAATCCGAAATCTTAAGCCCCCCCCCCCCCCCCCCCCAGAAAGCCATGATCATAGCACGACCCATTAAGGCTTAAATATACACAGGTAGAGAGGGTTTAGGGTTTCGGGTCGGGTTTTTCGGGTGTTTGCAACCGTCTTTCCTGTGGGACATTGTGGGGCCTCGCTTGCAGGGGCGCGCCCGAGTTGAGAGCTACAAGGCGGGATGGCGTATCGTGTGCGGAAAAGGTTGCAAAGTCGCATAAGCATGCAGCAGATGAGTTAGTTGATTTTGCATTGCCACATCATGTGCTAATGAGTTTTGAAGCGTTTTTTTTTTTTTTTTTTATGAAAACACATTTTAGTGTTTATTTGTTCTGTATGTTGCTTGAACATGTTGCGCCTGGAGCCGACACCCGGCCCATTGCCTACACATGATAAGACTTGGACTGAGCCCGATGAACTTGATCAGTATAGGTCTCGCCTAGTAAGAGGACCCCGGTGTTGTGAAGGGATTTTTGTCTCCTCTTTCCCTGCCCTGGGCCAGGCTGCCGCTCGGGCAGCCGCTGAGGCCTCGGCAGAACGCAGAGAAGGCTGCTGAGCTTGCTGAGCTTCGGAGAGAATTTGTCGTTTTGTAGTAGACGTCATGCCGAGTACCCGCTCTCGCTTGCCTTCCTTCAGATAAAGCGATTGTGGCAACTTGAAGCTTCCGTGTTTCTCTGTGCAGTCGCAGCACGCAGCAGCCTCGCGTCGCAGGCGTTGCTTGGGGGAGGGAGGGCGCGGGAGCAGGAATGGTGTGGCCTTTGCTAAAAAACCGACTAGAAAAACCAACTTGGGCGCGCAGAATCGCTTTGGCCAGGCCTCGCAGGATGTGGTGCTGCGGACAGCAGCAGAGTGGCAGGACTCCATAGCCGTACTCCATCAAAGGGCTTTGTCAATTGTGAACTCCACATGCGGCCTGTCGGTGAGCAAGTGCTGAAGAACGTGATGCCGAGTCCTGGGGTACTGTTGCAGGAGCTGTGCTTGGGTGGCGAGCTTCTTGGTATGCATGGTAGGAGCTTGAAGAAGTTGGAGGCTTGCTTGTATTGAGAATTGGTTGATGCTGCTCTGATCGGATAGGGCGAGTCAGGCTGCCAGAGGCCGAGAGGATTGAGCTGGCGGAGTTCTTCCGGCGCCTGGATCCTGCAGGTGTTCCTTTTTTCGTTCTTGCTTCTGTATGGTTGGGGCAGACTGTGGACTCGAAGTACTCACGTCACGGAAGCCAGGCCCAGCTGGCGGCCGCTTGCTGACTGAGGCGGAGGTGCAGGCCGCCTCAGACGTAGTTTGAAGGGATGTGTGTGTGTGTGTGTGTGTGTCTCTGTGTGTGTGTGTGTTTTTTTTTTTTTTTTTTGGTTTTTTTCTTCCTTATAGCTTTCTCGACGTGCAGAGCAAGCCAGATTTCTGACCTGTGACAAGTTCGTGAGGGCGGCAGGTGTCAATTCATGTAGCAGCAAGGACTAGGCTCGAACAAGTGGCGACGGCAGCGAAAGTGAGTGCCCAGAGGCTGCAGCTGGCAACCCGAAGAGCGGCCTCCCGAGAGCGGTTCGAGGCTTTGAAGCTCTGTTTTCTACTGCACCGAGGGTTCTTCAAAAGAGATATTTGGTGAGCACGTTTTGGGGCCTCGTTTGGATGCAGAATGATGCAGAGTTGTGGAGCTTCGGCCATCTGAACACGTCTGTTCAGGGCGTCTGCTTGACTCTTTGCGATCGGCCCCGGCAGGCTGGGGACCTTGCGGGGGTGTTCAAGGGGTCAAGGGGAACAAAGGGGCCTTGCATCAGAAGCAGCTGCTGGTTCATACGCAAAGAGAATAAATTTGCCATTGCGAAGCTCAGGGGTTGCCCGTAACCTCAAGGTCGGGAAAGTTCACATAAAGCTGTCTCAGCCACGCGGGGCACAGTACGTTGACTACGTTGACGGCGTCTTCTTTCTGGTTGAGCCCCTGAAGCCCTAAACCCGGCCCCTGAAGCCCCAAAATTGACAACCCCTCAACCCTCCTCCCGAAACCCTCAACCCTCAACCCCCGGCCCCCGCCCCCAAGCCCCAAACTCGGAAACCTAAAGGTTTTACACAACGCAATATGAGCAAATAAAAGCTTGTTTAAACGCAGCAGAACGTGCCCGGTCTTCCCTTAAGTTGAAGTCCACACCGAAACTGCAACCTTCTAAGGCCCTCAACTCCCTGCAAAATCTGTGGCAACGCCACCGTTGCCCGTGGTGGACCATGGGAAGGTGCGGTGCAGGGCATTGTCAATCATGAAAAGCAAGAGACCGGGGGGAGAGGGCGGGGCATCCTTTCCAAGTTCAGCAACTCAAGCTTTCAGGTAAGGACTCGGGCACACCTCGGTGCTGAGACGCGGGGTTTATGAATGCGATGTGTGACTCGTAGTTTGTTCTTTCCACCATCCACTTCTGAAGCTTCCAGGGTCTGACGGCCGAACCTGGCACAGGAGGGCCTTCCAGCTGCAGTTTCTCCCGCTTCACCCAGTCGCGATGCAGCGGAGCAGAGCGATCACTCCAATCCGGACTGGATTTTTTGGATTTTGGATTTTTGCTGCGTAGCATCAGCCAGGCAGTGCAGTAGCAATCGCATGTCCCAACTCTGTCTCAGCCCTTTTGCAAGGGTGGTCAGATGTCGTTGCATAGTTGAATAGTTGCATCGTTGTATATCGTTGTATACTGCATACTGCTTGTATGCTGTATACTGTATGCGAATTAGTATACTGTATACTGGTCCCAGAAGGAATGTCGATTCGGATCAGCTGTAGCTTACGTGTCTGATCCGTGCCACTCTCATTCCGGAGGATGGGGCCTTTACGCTGTCAGAGTGGAGAGACTTCTTCCGCGAAGAAGGCGAGTTTTGCAGTAACCTGTGGTGGTTTTGGGTCCTTTGCGCCAATGGGGCTGGGATCGCTTTGGAGCCCTGATGTCGCTCCACCCCTCCCCTTGGTCAGAGGCTCTTTCAGCGCGGAGGAGTTGACGGAAGTGACTGCTGTGCCCTAGTTGGAACTGTGCTCTCTCAAGGATTCGGGACTAGCAGGTTTGCATGTAGCACTAGTGGGAGAGGTCTGGAGACCAGTTACTGAGACGATCGAAGGGGTTGAAGGCTCGGGCCCAGCCTTGGGGCACTGCGATGTGTACTTGCAAGCAGTCTAAAAGGGTTTAAAATATTGGTGCGTGTAAAGGCAACCAACACACCACCTTGAAGCCGTTTCTGCGCCTCCTCACGTCATAGTCTTTCCACGCCTTTGTTTCTGGGCTGTGCTATGTTGTGCTGTGATGATCTCGTGAAGAGATGCAGATGCACCCAGCTCTGCGTGGGTCTCGCGCTTAAAAAGGCATTGGCCGGCTTGCCGTGGCCCAGCCAGAAGACGACGATGACGCTGGTGCAGCTGAGGACTGCCTTGTTTTGGAAAAATGCAAGCGACAACTGGACCAGCGTCAACTGTGATGCTCACCCGAACCGATGCCAGGAGTTCCCTGAGCGCGCCGCGGCCCAATCTAAGCGCAGCTTTGCAGGCTCGGAGGGTATCAGCAGGAAGTTATGTCTTTTGCCTTGCGCCGAGGGAGTTTAGGGTAGAGACCAAGACGTTCCAGGCGAAGATGTTGGGCTTGCTGGCGGAGGCGGAAAGCGAGCCTAGCGAGCCGAGCGAGCCAAGCGAGCCGAAAGCGGAGGACAAGGCCGAGGCCGGGCTTCCAGATTTTGCGCTCCAAAAAGTCTTCGAAACGGGTGGGTTGCAGTCGGCAAGTCCTCTGCGGCAACCTAGCAGAATCAGCATCGCAGACAAGTGCCATCAAGTGTGTGCAGGCCAGTTCGGCGAGGGCCTTGGAGGAAGAGGACATCCTATCTGACAGCATCCGGCAGATGCAGCGTTCACACCTGATACTTGCTGAGATTCAAAGGGATACGAGTAGGCAGTGCTACATTTGAGCCCAGCCCACTTCCCTTCACAGGATGATGACGGCGATGGCTTTACAAAAGAGGCGGCTCGGCCAAAACGTTCTGACGAGACACCTGCGCGCAAAGTAGCGGTATGTTGCGGAAGCTTGTGCGGATCATGGCGGAACGTTCCCCGTGTCTCAGCCGGGCCTTCGAAGCCAGTTCAGCTCAACGCATGCTTGCTTTCTTGAGACTGCAACAATGTCCTCTGCGCCGTGGCGTGAACTGTTGGCGTCCAGAGGCTTCTCGGCGTTGTGTCCAAGTAGCGGTGTGTGGCTGGGGGGGGGCACATGGGGCCACGATGGCCCCCACGGAACGACATCCTCTTTGTCTTCTCAACCCTGCACAATCCACGTGCAGACTCTACTGACTCTGCGTCTCCTTCCGGAAAACAACCGGGATTTTCGCAGTACTCTTGTGACCACTTGTGCAGTCTGCCAAGGACAAAGCATGCGGTAGAATATTCTTTGTGTTTCGACAAGGGACCTGTACAATGGTATCGAGCGCCCATGTACAGCACTCTGCTCGTGTGGCAAGCGCCCATGCTGAGGGGTTGGCAGGCAAGACCCGCGAGTGTAAAGGTTTGTGGGCAATTCCCCATCGAATCTGGTGACGCGCGAAGCAGTGTCAAGCTCTGCACGCTTACCAGGTCTATCTAGGCTAATCTCAAGGGCGTTTTTGTGCTCAGGCGGTTTTGATCGTTGGTACAATGTCTCGCACATGCATCGCATCCCAAGGAATGGATGGAATTTTTCCAAGAGGACGGTGACATCGATGATGAGGAGCTTTGCAATGCTTTGCACACGTTTGAGAATTTTTTGGGGGGAGGGGCCGCCGCCATCGTGCGCTGACCACATTCTCCACACATGTTCCGCGAAAGTTCTCTCTGTGTGTGTGTGTGTGTGTGTGTGTGTGTGTGTGTGTGTGTGTGTGTGCGCGTGTGTGTGTGTGTGCGCGCGCGTGCGCTTTCGAGCGCGCCACATTCTTTTCTACTCCCAGACAGCGAAAGGTTGGACGCTTGTCGGTAAGTCCGGGATTCGAATATTTGAGTTTGGCAGATGTTTTGTGTTCACTCCAGGCCCCCACATCTTGGGAGAACAACGGCAGATGTGTCAACATGCCATTGTCCAGGTATATCCAGGCATGCTTAAAGGCAAGCGCCCCACAATCTCGTTAAAGGAGATGAAGGTGCTCGATGTCTTGCTGGACAAGATGGATGTTTCCGGCCAAAGCCTCAGGAGGCTGTTGGGTGGTATCCTGGCAATAGCGCTTCACTCGACTTCACAGGGCGAGCTGAGTGCGAAGCAGCGTGCAACATCTCTAAAGTCTGCAAGCGACTGAGGCGATGGCCGTGTATCCTCGGATGAGATTAAGGCCCCCATGCGCGCTCGTGCAGATCCGTAGGTCTCCTCACGCCGATGCGCATCGGCTGCGTGTCGCCCGTATGCGCTTTGTCAATCTACTGTCTCAGACTGTCAGCTTTTTCGCATGTACCATATATCACGCTGCAACTCTTCAGCCTTCAACAGATTCCTGGAGGCGGCTCTTGTTCGCAAGGACTTGGACATTCCGGAGGCAGTCGGGGACCAGACACCAATGACCCAACCATCCCACCAGTTCGGAGCATGTCTTATGTCTTATAGACGCTGGATGACGACGAACTGCAGTCGTTTCTGTAAGTCCAGCCTTGTGCTGGAAGAAGAACAGTGAAAGGGACTCAGCCTGCAGGCAATTCGCTCCAAGCTTGTCGAGTTCATGAAGGACGTGGAGTAAAATGGAGCCTCGCATCGCAATTATTGGCTTTGTTGGATCTTGCACGAGGGTGTCGTGACCTTGTTGCCGGGGGGGGGGATGGGGGGGGTGTGTGGGGTACCTGGACCATGAGCAGGGTGGGGGTCGAGGGGCCGCGAAATGACCATACTTTTTGTCCGATTATCTCGCTAGCTATCTATCAATGCACCCGTCTGCTGCACGTGGTTCTTGTGGGAAGCACATCATGTAATGGTTTGTTGGCCCTGCTGGCCCTGCTACCAAGGCACGACTGATTTGCACTGAGACCGGCCTGCATCTGTCGGCCGTCGGCTGTTGAGACCTCCGATGGATTTGAGGCCGTTCGAGTTGTGCTTGCAGAAGGGTGCCAAAGGTTGCCATCACAAGGCTCAGCAGGTTCGTGGCACATGCCTTCCCCAGAAGAGGATGCCTTGTGAATTTATATCAAGTCCGTGTTTGCCTGTGGCCTCGGGCTTTGTGTCAGGAGAGACATCAGGGCACTGGGACCAGTCTGCGAAGCGCCCTCTTGTTGGATCTTTCGAACCAGGACCCAACGATGCAGCACTTCGCGCAGTGTAGTGCACAGCACGGGCTTTCCCCGCTACGCTCCAGAACTGACCGTCCAACCATCCTAACCATCCTAACCATCCTAATCCTAACCGTCCCAACCCCGATGCCAATGACCGTGCTCTTGCCTTCCGAGCGACTTTGTAGGCTAAGCATCTGAACAGCAGTCAACAGAGGCTGTGCCCTTCGAGATAAGAGCCTGCAAATGCCTGGAACTTGAGTAGAGCCGAACTTCCAGCTCTAAACTACTCGCGTGAGAAGACGGTACACCACATCCCAGCAAGTCTTGGGAAGCGGTTTGCGCTTCGCAGTTGGAGTTCTCGTTTCGCCGCTACGCCTGTCAGCTAGGAACTTACACAGTTTTCATGAAGGTTTCCATGCCCCCCCAGCCCATGAATCAGAAATCGCTCTCCGCTCCAAGACCAGGGACGTATCCGACTTAGGCTTTTGGCGTCAGCGAGTGCCGGCTTTCTCTCATGGGCAATGTTCAACTGGAGTGCCCAAGCCTGGCAGGACTTCAAGCTCGGACTTCCAGCTCGGACTTCTCATGGCCCTGGACCCGCCTGGACCGATACGCTTGGGATTTTTCCGAGCTTGAGGAACTTCGGGAAGAAGATCTTGGTGTCATTTGCCTCGTGCGATCCGCTCAGTCCTCGCGTCGCTTTCCTGTCCTGGCATGAGACTCGAAGTGCAGCTTTTGCCAAGTCCCGAGCCCCAGCCAGAGGAGGAGCGCCTTCATCTACGGCATGACGCCCTCTGGCTCGGTGGAGCCAGGCCTCCATTTTCGGGACACTCTTTGACATGCCAAGATGAGAGAGAGGTCCGAGTATAGGAATGCAGAGGATATAAAGGCAATATACATGCTACACGTACTCGTAGGTTCAATCTCGATGTGAAGGTTGTCGGAGATTTAGCAATGAGCTGCAGGCGCTTCCCGCTTGGCCGCGCTTCTGTGCTGGCAGGGCTCGCAACGCTCGCGGCGCAGTGTTTCACGGGGGAGGGGTGGGGGAAAGGGGAAGGGGGGAGGGGGGTTGGCGGGCAGCACCTGGTGAGAGTGCTGATCCACAGATGCGAATCGGGATGTGCACATAAAGGAAAGAAAAGCTTGTGCTACCTGGGGGCACCTTGCCTCATTTGGCCTCTAAACGATCCTTCTGCCCCTTTGCGCAGGTCGACATCGAGGCACTCGGCCAGGCGCTTCAGGTGGTGGAGCAGAAGAACCTGGAGTACATGAACCGGATCCACAAGCAGGACCTACGAAATGTCCGGCTTCGGTTTCCTTCGGGATTTTGATGTCACGGTCGCCGAGGAGTGCTTTCCAGCCATCCGTAAGCACTGGATGTTCTTTCAGAGCTTCGGATCAGCAGGGCGATGCTGGGTGGGGTCTTCTGATCCGTAGGAAAAGTGGAGATACGAGATGGTACAAGACTCGACCATCAGGTCCTTGTGCTTTCCCAAGGCCTTTTCCAGCTCTTGCATCTGGTTCTTCCGAAGGAAACTCGTGAGCAGCAGCTGAAGGGTGAGAATTCCACGCTGCAAGAGGAGGTCGCGAGACCAGCCAAGAAGGGCTTCTGTCTGTGTCTCATTTGAGCATGCACAAGCTGTAGTGATGCCTGTAGAGATATGTAGAGATGACATACCGATGTCATCCAGCCACAGAGCGTGATGCAGGTGGAAGCCATCCGTGCTGAGATAGGCCAGCCTGTTTCATGGTTAGCTTTGATGTATGTAGGCACTGAGTCGGCCCCATGTCAGGTCTTCGGTTCAGAGGCACATATGGTAGAGCTGCCAGAGAATTCGGGCCGTTCACTGGGACCTTGGGTGGGCCCTAGAAGATTTGAACACGTGAGACGCTTTTCTGGCTCATCGTAGACATACATACGATGCGACCTGCCCGCTCTGCAGACTCCTTGCGGAAGCAGCTTGAGGGCGATGAAGAAAGCCGCACGAAGCCAGAGACTGAGGGTGATCGGTGCTTGATCGGTGCTTGATCGGTGCAATGGAGAAGTCATCATCTCCGAACATGAAAGCATCTACTTGCGGAGTTCACGTTCAAAGTGAGCTACAGTACCAGAAGCACAAATCAGGGAAGCTTATGCAACCTGCACACATCTTTCAAAGTAGGGCCGAAGCTCTCTTGATCTTGGCCTGTCTTGCCGCTAGTATGCTAAGTAGGTGCTTTCGGGATTGTGGGCTAAGGTTCGAGCGCGCTCGCAGCCAGCTTGAGATGACCATCGAAGCCCTTGAGGCTAGGCAGTTCAGTTCTCTTCACCTTGGACCAATGAGAACCCTATTGACAGTGCAAAGCACCACAAGCCTTCCGGCCCCCCCTCTCATGCCATCTCCAGAGAAACTGTGCTGCTTCGCTGCTTCACCAAAGTCATGAAACTCGTCTTTGAGGTTCAGGTGGACACGCTCAAGAAGGCACTGAGCACCGCCGAACGCCAGGGGCCTCAGAGACACAGATCGCGGAGAACGAGACACCGAAAGGAACAAAGCAAGACGGACAGAGAGGGGAGAGACTCTCAACGTAGTGTGTCCGTTAACGTGCGCAAGAAGGAAGGAAGACTCTCAACGCACACCGACCCTTGGGACACAAGCGCACTTCGGTGCAGCCCCTCGGGGGATATGCTTGTAGAGACAGACAGAGACAGAGAGAGGGAGAGAGAGAGAGAGAGAGAGAGAGAGAGAGAGAGAGAGAGAGAGAAAGAGAGAGAAGCAGACGCAAGACATGGGACTCTCGCGCCCTTCGGGGCGGGCTCCCCTCTGGGGGCCTAGCGTGTGGAGAGAGAGAGAGAGAGAGAGACATGCACAGGCGGTTTGTCTCTTCAAGGCCTCATGAAAGACAGCACGATGCTCTCAGTGTTCACAACATATCCAGGAACTTTTCAGTCTCACACCGACTGGACAGGGCACCCTGCTCGCGTGGAAGGGAACAGTATGCAGACGGTCAATGCTAGAATCACACAGTGGCATCGAACCAGGAGCCAACGAGCAGCTGCAAGATGAGAACAGAACCACGGCAGACAGGTGCCCTGCGATGTGCACTGCTAGACCTGCTAGAGCTGCCAGCGTCAGTCCGTGTCTGCAGGAGCTGCAAGCCTGTCTGCAAGCCTTTCTGCGCCCTTCTCCCCCGAAAGTCCCCCCAAAAGGTGTCGTGAGACGGCCGACAAGGCGGGGCAGACTACGGCTCTTGACAGGTTGAGAAGTGATACCGTTGGTCCCCAGGAATTCTCGCAATCAGCAACTCGCAAGATGCGAGAAATGAGAAAGAAGTAAGAGTACTCCCTTTGAAAGTTTTCTGGGAGTCGACCCGAGCCAGGTCTACGCTCTCATGGACTCCCTGCGTCTCAACCAGGCCTTCGTAGCACTTCGTGTCTCAACAGGGCACCTTCCCACCTTCCCCTTGCTGTAGCTCAGCATATGCGAAGGGAGCTAGGTCTCAAGATTTGAGGGGGCCCACGGCCCATTTCTGCTTCCAGAAAGGTGGAGCTGAAGAAGCTGGAGGCGGAGAACGCGTCCAGGCGTTGGGAGAGACCCACAGGAGTGAAGTTTGAGAGAGACGTGAGAGTGAGAGTGAGAGTGTCAGGGAGAAGACAGAAAGTGAGTTGTTTGAAGGGGAGGTTGCAGTGGGGTTTAGGTTGGCTTTCGGGCTGAAGACGACAGGACGAATAACCGGACCCCTTTTGTGCAGCAATCGTTTCCGCCAGTGTATCTCATGAAAAGGGGCGTACTGTGCATGCTTTCCCCCCAGTGCACACTTCTGAGAGGAGACCTGCAGTGGGGTGGTAGCTAGCAAAAATCGAATATCACGCCTTTTCAGGGATTCCTCTGACCACCGCGCTCAGGCCAAAGTCCCCCGAAATGTGGGGCGCGCGGGGACCGTGCAGGGCCTTCGGGGCCCGCAGCTCCTCAAAAGAATGAACGAAAGAAGGAAAGAAACAGGGAAAGCCAGAAAGAAGATATTGCTGACGGGAGTGAAGCTAGCGAGTGCATCACAGTGATATGAGGGTCTCCCGGCCCCCACAATGGAAGCCTGTCTTGTGCCTCTTGAAAGCACTTCGGGCTGCGGCACGCTTTCCTCTCAGCAAAGAGCTCTGTTTGAGCGGGAGAACACAACTCAGATTCCTGCCAGGGACAAGAAGCTCATCGCCCTGGAGCGGCAAACGCAGAACCTCCAGGTTCCCTCCGTGTGATTCAGCGTGGTCCTCTGCCTCATGCTGCTGCTGCTGCTCCTCCTCCTCCTCCTCCCCATCCGCTTTTGACATGCTAAGCCGTGGCCAGGCGAAGATCACCATGGAGATCGACGCCAAGGCTGGCTATGGCCAAAGCGGCTCAGGCTTCTCAGGCTTTTCAGGCTTCCATGAATGGGTGGTTGGGAGGGGGGACGGACACGCGCCCTCTGCCTCTTCCCCTCAGCGTGAGCATTGGAGTTTCAGCGCCTTTCGTCGCCGCAGGCTTTTGCTTTGACGATTCTCTAAAGGGCCTAGCTCTGTCAAGATGATAGCGTCGTCGAAACCAAAAGCGAGAGCACCAGACCAGAGAGCACCAGAGAGCACCAGAGAGCACAAGACCCCAAGAGCAAGCCTCAGCTCGAATCGCAAGCTTGGTGCAAAGCCTTGGTCCGGAATCTTCAACCACCTCAGACTCAGGCCCTTACCAAACAGTATAGAGAATCGGCCCCAAATCGGCCCAAATCGGCCCATTCGGCCATGGCGACTGGCCTGGATGAGCTTTTCGACTGGGAGGCGGCTCCCGGGTGCACGAGATCACGGTGCATGTGCCTGGCAGTGAGAAGTTTTTATGTGGGGGAGTTGTCATGAGTTGTCTTAGCAGGCCCTGGAGCACCGCTTCGCCGAGCGCCGCAGCACGCCGCGCCGGCCAGGCAGACATGCCGAGAGCACGCGCAGAACCCATCTCGGGGCGAGAGATCCCTCTCCAACTTTCTCGGGTTCTCGGAATGCCGGCGAATCTGAAAAGTGAAAAGCTCATGAAAGCTCCCAGTCACCCCAGGGCCGCTCTCCAAGGGCGCCGAGGCCTCGGCGCCGGGGCTCAAGGCGGGAACGGGCCCCGAGAACGTGCAAGTTCTTTCCTTTCGGGGCATTCTGTTCTCGCGTTTCATGGCCGTGGAGGCCGAGCATGAGAGCCTCTCATGTGCAGAGCGATTTCAGTCTTGCGGTGCTGAACCTAGAACACTCTAGAACATACTGAGAAATTGTAGACGTAGACGAGTGTTCAGGTGGCGGTCTTTGCGCTCGGCTGATTTTGGGAGCCCCAGCAGGTTGGGGAGCTCCAAATTGCTCCGAGGGTTACTAGGGTTGGGGTTTTGCGGTGGGTTCACTTGTCTCATGCACTGGGTTCTCGGTACTCTTAGGTCCTATGCGTGGAATTTGTTCGGAGCTGCTTCTAAGACGCGAACATCGTGCTCGGGTTATGGCATGGGTTCGCAGAGAGTAGAGAGTGATCGCACACACTGGGTGCATCCTTCGCCCTCGGGCTCCTTCGGCTTCTTCGGCTTCTTCGCGTTTCCACGAACCCTTTTTAGAGCTTGAGCCGCATACTCGAAAAAAGGTCTTCGATGACCTCGAGGGCGTGGCTAACACCCGTGCTGCTTGAACACGAGACGAGTAGTGCGCTTTTCAAGTCTCCGGTCTTTTTCTATCTTTTAATGCTTGTGTGGGTGCATGGGAAAGTATGGCAAGCCATGGCAAACCATGGCAATCAATGCAGGGTTGGAGTTCGAGACTGCAACTCAGGTTGGGTACACTGGAGGGGCCAACCCGAAGCCCAGCTACGGCAGCGTCTGCGAGGGTCCACTGCTTTGAGCGGAGAGGTTGTGGAGGAAGCAGGATGAAGCAAGGAAGCCAGGAAGCTCTCCCCGCTTAAAGGTTAGAAATTCGCCTCGCTCCAGGGCTCGGCACTGGTCGTCTTTCCCTCTTTTTTGTGGTGCCCTGAACCTTGATCTCTGTGCCGCTGTGCCTGAAGTATCATCGCGCTCCACATCCTTGCACCGCTCCCACACCGGACAGGGTTCGAGGGCTCCTGGCCAAATCTGCCGAACTCTTCCCACTCTTGTCACGGGGTTCGGGTAGGCTAGCCTGGACTAGAAACTGCAACCCTCATCGCATCTCATCGCTCAATTTGGCGCGTAGAGTCTTTAAGACATCTGACCTTGAAAGGCGATGGGCATACGGAAGCGGTGCGCGTGGAGTACAATCCAAAGGAGGCCTGCTGCTGCTTCATGCCACTTCATGCGCTTCATGCTGGCTAGACGAGGTGATGACGTTGATTCAAGTCATGCAATGGATGCGTTACTGTATCCTAGTATTTAAAGAAGGCCTCCCCTTCTCCTCCTCTTCGGTTTTTCTTCGTTTTTGTTCCGGTTTTGGAGCATGCCGTGCAATAATTCGAAGCTTCCTGTTGTGTACATGGAATTGCTGGTAGCTTCGCCCGAAGCTTTAGACCCACAGGCGCTTTGAAACTCCGTGTTCTGAAAATGCGAAGTTGTCGTCGCTTTTGGACGTCTGGGTTCACATGGTCTCTCCCTCTTTGGAATCTATTCTGTCCTAATTTGGTGGTCAGAACTTTCGGCGGGGAAGGTGAACGATCAGGTTTGGGAGCTTAGATGGGCTTCGACAGGGTGTAGCAACACATGCTCCTATGGAAGGATGGCCAAGCGCGTAAGAAGTTTATTCAAGTGCGTGGAGGGGTATCATCCCAGCCAGCAATGATTGAAGGGTATCTTCCTGGCCAACCTCAAGCCCGTTTGCCGGCAAAACATGTACAAGTGTACAGCAATATGAATTTTGTTCTCTTTGGCAGGTTCGTGTGACTAGAGGGCAATTAGCGAAAACTCCACCCTTGGAGCGTGCGCAAGCTCGTGCAAGGGCGAACGCAAGCTTTGCACTAGCTTGTTGTTAGGGATGCTTCAAAACCCAAAGATTAGAAAACCATGTGCGCTCAAGCACGCGGGACACGCAAAGGGCGAAGGGTTGCGACTTGGCTTTGCAGGGCGAGCGCTGATGCATGAAATCGGGGGCCGCAGACCCAATGTACGGTACGTGTTTTGACCCTCGTGTAGAATTCGGCAAGTCAGGTCGCCTTCAGCAACCATTGCATATCATGCGAGTGCTGCCAGCAACTTCCTCGCGAGCTTGGCCCGCTCCCCCCCGACCAGGATTCGATACCACATCCCGTTCAGGTCTCGTACCAAGAGCTCCTGGATGCGTACTGGGATCAGCTGCTGGCTGCAGTTTTTGTTTCAAGGGGGTGTTCAGCAGGACTTCATGTTGGAGCGTTCGGGGCTGGAGGATCGCTTGCATCTTACAGGAACTAGACGTGAACAGCCCTTTTTATTTGGCGCATCGGAGTGCAAGACGTAGCGTGGACGCATCAACAAGCGGAAGACTTCTTGTCAAAACCCCCGAAATCGTGAGACCGGCATCTTGCCCTACTTGCCGTCTTCCTGCCTCCCGAGGTATGTTGGTCCTGCGGCGAAGTGCCAGTACAAGTCAGCAATTTGGGCCCTTCGGCTGGGCCACTTGGGAAGCGCGGGGAATCCCTTTCCCAAAGACATCCGAGGTCAGCGATGAGGAGCAGAAGGCTTTGGCCGAGGAGTGCATCCGAATCGGCCTTCTCTGCTTTCTAACACGCCGACACGACCGAAGCCCTTGGCCAGGACTCTGTGCAGAAGGCAGATGCATCTGGGCGTTATGCGCCACTTCCCGCTGCTTGCCGAGATCAATATCAGCAGCATGTCTCGCTGCTGATGCCCAGTATCCCACGCTTTGCCTTCCCGACAGGTTTAGGGTTGGTATGGTTTTCTGGTATGGTTTTCAGGATTTAGTTCAGTGTTTGTAGATAGATGCTTAGGTTCTAAGGGGCTTTTAGGGTTTTGGGTTTTGGGGCTTGGGGTTGACCGTTGCCGGTTTATGCGAATCCCGTGCGAACGCGAATCCCTGCGGGAATCCGGTTCTTCCGTCTTCCGGTGCAAGTATCGGTTTTTCGAGTACACGAATCTCTTTCCTACCACGGCACATGCTGCAGACCGCCAGCCTTCACCGACATGCCAAATCCCCCGCCTCCCGCCGATCAGTCGATTCTAGTTTCAATTTATTTGTGCATGTCATAGCGCGTCTGAAACGCCGGCAAACCCATGCCCCACATCCAGAGAAACAGCTTGTGTCTTGCCGGGAACACGGGACTTCGGTATGGGAGCCCTGGACAGATGTGGTCAGATGTTTCAAGGACGGTCCTTGGAAACTTGAGGCTTCTGTTGTTCGGACTCTGACCTTGTTTATCAGCACTTCAGTTAATCAAGCACGTGGCACCTACTTGAGCATTCCACTTACTGTGGGTTTCCAGTCAAGCAACGAGCAACTACTTTCCGGACTCCTTCTAATCAACTTCTGGCTTTTAAAGAGTGAAGCTGTTTCGTTATGCATTAGTACTGCTGTAAGAAGCATGGTATCACTATAGTATCAGTTGTGTGGAGTTGGCTACCCGAGGTTCGGGTGCCCGTTCAGCCCGTTTGTGCACCTCGGACTTGAGCCTGGAAGTTTGGAAAGAGTTGTGAGGTCTCCGTGTACGACCTTGTGCGTAGAACAGCCTGACAAGACGGAAATGCGCTCCACCCGCATCAGATTCTGCCAGGGCAAGCTGAAATTCTTGAGGCGCCTGACTATCAGCCTTTAGGCAGAAAGCCCCAAGCCAACGTCCCAATCCTGGAAACGGAAGCCTTTTCATTTGAAGGGCCGATCGGCTTTCGGGTAGACTTTGAGGCTTCAATCTTGGAGTTGTGTTCATCTTCCTGCCGTAATATATATATATATATATATTCTTTTTTGGGGGACCTCTTACCCTTGATTAGGACAACCTGCAAAGTTGTTCATTCAGGCCGGCCTCGCGGGGAATGAGAATGTGTAGCAGGAACTGTTGGGTTCTTTTCGCTGTTAACCCATTGGCCCATTGCTCAACTCTTCTTGTTTTTGAACCCGCAATCCTCGAGCTCCAGGATTGGCATGATGCGGAGGAGTACCACCAACACCACATGAAGAAAGTTTGGGGCGTCATGAGCCGAAGCTAGTGTGTTGATAGTGCAATTCGCTTTTACAGACGAAAGCCAGAACAGTAGCTAGGAGCGAAGGCTGCATACTGACATCACTTGGGTTCCAGGTCCTAACCTCTGTTGATTTCCCGTGGAAGGCCGCTAATGAAAGAGCCCACAAGGGCTGATTGTCCACAGGGCCACCAGACGCGAATGACATCAGAAGAGGGCTGCGATGCTCGCAGCCTCATGTTTTTGGCCCTAGCGAAAATGACAAGGGAGCCAAATCCGAGTCCTAGGTTACAGGTGGTTTTTTAAAGCACCTGCTGCTGGCATTGCGTGCTCTTCAGATGGACTTGCGTTCTGGTGCATGTCTATGGTGGGACGATGTCCTGAAAGTGGGGTCAAAGGACCATGATATTTGCAGATTCGTATGTGAGATCCAGCCGAGGAGTCTCGGCATGTTTCACCACTTTCGCCCTGTGCCGCGTGCGCCGTTTTCCAGACCTCTGTGCGAAGTGAAAAATCGCTGGAACATGTTCAGAGGCACCAAGTTAGCATCTTCTGCGCGATGCTGGGCACAGCCAGCCGTGGCAGCCGAGGACGGTCTTGGTGCCCTCGGCGTGCCGTTTGTCCCCGCAGTGTCCCTGCGCTGTCCCCCATTTGTGCAGGTCTTGGCCGAGCAGGAGCGCAAGGAAGCGGAGCAGGAGGCACAGATTTGCTGGGCACCCTCATTCATGTAGTATATGTAGTGCCCTGTGAGGTTGGAGAGGGGCTTGCGAAGAAGAGCTTGTCACCGCTTGCGCGATTAAGCTCCTGTTTAGCAGCCTTGAGCAAAAGTATCCCCACCATTGTCGGAGGCCGTGGTTTTGAAAAAGCCCCTTGGCTGGAGATCCGAAATTTTCAGAGAGATGGGTCCAGACGCTTCGGAGTTTCACAGGGGGTCGATTGTATGTTTTCTCGCTTGACCGGGGGCGTGTTCCCGTTCCGTTCAAGAACACGAGAGAGGAGAGAGATGGCAGGGAAGAGCTAAGCCTGGCAGACGTGTCTCCCCCCATCCACGGCTTGGCAACGGCCCCCGAGTCCTCAGGAAGAACAAGAAGATCGAGGACAACGTGACCGTGTCCCAAGGAGCTCAGGAGAAGGCCAGGCCGACATGCTGCCAAAGAAATGACAGAGATAGACAAAGCACTGGAAGGTTCGCAAGAGGGGCTCTCCATTTCCTCCTAGACTTTGGACTCCCCCCCGACTCTCCCCGACTCCCCCAATTCCAGACTCCGGACCTTTCGGCCTTTGCTTGCAAAGGCGGAGAAGGAAATCTCGGAGCTGAATGACCGCGTAGGCACAGGGCCAGGTGTTGTCAGCAACCGGAAGTGTCCAAGAAGAACGGCCTTAAGGCTTTCGGATTTCCATTTCGGGTGGGTCGACATGGTTTGGCTCAATGCCCATAGCTCCAGACTTCTGACATCCATTCGGGCAACTTGCAGGTCAGCTGCAGACTCAGAACGCCTACCTGGCCAGTCGCGTGCTGGCGGCATTTGGGGCATATTTTGAGAACATATTTTTAGAACAGGTTAGGACCGCGTGTCACGAAGAATTTCCAAAGAGCCCTTGAAATGGCCTAAATGCCGACTCCTTTTCGTTCTTTTCAAATACACCCTTCTTGTCGCTCTTGTCTTTTCAAGAGTGCAAGCTGCGCAGCTGTGTCAGGAATCGACGGCCAGGAAGAGGAGAAATCTTCTCTGAAGGCTGCTGTGAAAGCAGAGGGCGCTCGTGCATGCCACATATCATCACGACTTGATGAGATGTGTTGTAAGCAAGAACTTCGTCGGAGGCTAGCCGGAAATCTTTAGCAGCTGGCATCTGGGACGTTAACGCAAATTGCCTCGCTGGTGAGGTGGAAATCAAGAAAGTCGCTGACAAAGCCAGCGCCGCTGAGCAGAGAACAGAGGGCGGCGAGAATGGAACTCCTCCTCTCCCTCCCCGTCGAGATTCAGGTTTGACGTAATTTGAGTAATTTGGGGCATATACTGTTCGAAGTCTAGGACGGCCCATCAAAAACATCACGGCACCACAGGATTATGAGACGGACTTTGCTTCTGCAGGAACTAGAAGCCGCTGTGCTCAGCATGAGGGTGCACGCCAGAACAACTAGAAGCATCATGCAGCTCCAGACAACAGTTCCAGGGACAGCTCTACACGTACAGCCCGAATAGCCTTGAGTCTTGGAGTTGACATTCCTCACGTCGCCACATCTGAGGAACTCTCTGGCGAGAATAGCAGGCTGGGCCAGGGACGGAGCCGCCGGGGTGGCCGCCTGGGAATCATTGGGGGAGGGCGCTTGTTGACGGGTGGTCGCGCTCTGCTCCTTCGCGAAACTTTGCGAAGCGTAGATACTAGTAACTATACTTCCTTTCGCTTTCAAACTAAAGTTGTGTCAACACATAGGAAACTCTTGCTTTCTTGAATTTTCCACTTTAGAGTAACATGGGGCGAGAGGGATCAGAAGGGCTCGAGCTCCATGACATGCTTTCTGTGTTTTCCACGTGCTCTCAACCCCTCGCTGCTCAGTTTCTTCGAGTTCAAGTCACTAGGAAACGGGAAATCTGGTTCCGATTGTAGCTAGTGCGGTGTAACAATCGTTTAGACTTGTCCTGGCACAGAGCACGTCGATCAAACGCAAAATGCTCTCGGCAGGTTGCGTGACGAGATCGACTCCTTCGAAGAGAAGGCTGGCTTGGGTGCGTGTCGACATGCTTGCGGGAGTCTGGAATAGCCGCATGTCTACCATGTATTGAAGTTGCAGCACCTGTCGCGGAGGCTGCCACGACAGTCAACGACACCGAAGCCTTCAAGAAAGAGCTGGAGTGCCCTTGACTCCCAGAGCACTCAGCGTGCGAGTTTGGTCAGTTCTGGTTTCAGGGCTCCAACTTTCAGGGTTCTATTGTTTCAGGGTTTTGTGGGCCAGAAAGCCTCGGCTCGTTCCTGGTCTCGGTAAAGCTGCTAAACCGGAGGCTGCATTCACAGGCGATCACAGGGCGGCGATGTTCTATTCAGCTTCCGTGAAGGTACATCAAGCGTGAGGATGTGCTCGATGAAGCAGGAAGGCCTGTGGGGGATAACAGCTTCATGCACGTTTGGCATTCAGGAGTTCAATAGATTTGGCCAGTCTTACGGTTTGGCCACAAGGACTTGGACTTGCTTTGAGTGAAGCGGGCTGTAATCCGGTAGAGTGCGGTAGAGACCTCTTCAGGCAACGGCCCATCCTGATCCAGTCGACGAAGTCGGACCTCTTAGAAAAGCTGCAGGTGCGGTAGCAGCACGAGGATATAGGAGAAATCTGCACATCTCAAGCCTCGACTTCCTTGGGAAAGGTGAATGAGTTCCTCTACGAGGCCCAGCAGGCTGGGCATGGATGCTCTGAGCACCTTACTTTTGGCACCGCCTTTTCTCGATAAAGCAGAAGGGGCACACTCCACAATGGCAAATGCCTCATGTGCAGAAAACCCTCTGCTCTGAGGCGCGCAATCCGGTCCCTCCCATGATCGAGAAGATTGCGCAGAGCTGGGCTCAGGGATCCACGGATCCACGGATCCACGACTGAGCTGAGGGCGACGGAGTCGGCGGGAAGAGGGGCGCAGTCTCGGGCCCACGCGATGTCTGAGACGTCTGAGGATGTCTGAATCTCTCTGCGAATCTCTGAGGGTTTCTGACTCTCCGAGGCTGTTGGCGATGCTTCACGAGGGCCAGCAGCGTAGCGACGCTTACCTGGGCGTGTCTTGGCAGCGACTGTTTGACTCCTTGCCTTGATCACCTGGCTTGCCGAGTTTGTGTACTCTTTCTTTGCAGTTTGCATCTTTTGATTAGCATTTGCACTACGAAACTAAGAGGATCAAAAGGAATTCGTAAATACTGCACAAAGTGCCATCGGGCTTGGTCCCGTGTAGTTACCAGTTCCCAAGCTTCGTTAATTTTATGTATACAGGCGTAGGCTAGCGTGTTTCACGTAGATTTGCGTGGTGTTCGTTTGTGGAGACGGTGCCGTGCGAGCCAGGCTAATTTTGTTTCTTGCAGATAAAGCGGATTCTGTATTATAGTTCTTATGAAGCATGTTGAAGCATTGTTTTTAGTTTCTCATGTCTTGGAAGCAGAAGGTTTCTGTGGGCGTCTGGGGCCGGGTGTTCTGGATTGTTTCCCGGGTTTAGAGGAGACCATATGGCAGTGTCTGGCAATGTCACAACTTTGTCTGAGGACCTCTCGAAGTCCAATGCGCTTGTGTCCGCCATGCGCCAGAGGAGCCCCCCGAAGCGAGCAACAGTTGCGAAAGGAAGATGTGTGTGTGAAGATGTGTTGAGAGCATTTTTGAGAACCACGAACAAAGGTTCGGTTTGCGCTGCAGGAACATGTCCCTCTTCGGCCGCACGCAGATGTTCGAGTCCTTCAAGTCTCGCGCTCTCATGAGGCGCCCGCTCTCTTTCTTTCTTTCTTTCTTTCTTTCTTTCTTTCTTTCTTTCTTTCTTTCTTTCTTTCTTTCTTTCTTTCTTTCTTTCTCTCTCTATCCTAAAGCGTCTTGTCTCCCGCTGACTCCCAATCAGCTGCGACTTCCATTGGCCGAGAGACCGAGAGATCTCTCACAAACCAACGTCACTGAAGGTGAGGATCCCCGGATCTTGCGCCACTTTGCCCCAGGTATGTCATGAACATGATTGAGGGCGAGCGAATTCACGACCTGCACCTGGACGGCTGGGTCCCCGGAAGCCTTTAACGTGGAAAGGCGAGTGCGGCGAGTGCGGCGAGTGACTCTACAGGCCTCAGCTTCGGCTTGCGCGAGATCAAAGAGACGCTTGGCCTCTTCACGCGCTACGAGTGCTTCGAGCAGGCCCCGTGCTTGCAGCGCTTCGAGCGCTTCGAGCGCTTCGAGTGCTTCGAGTGCTTCAACTCGGTCTTCATACTGTAGGCCCACGCGATCCTTGAAGCAGGTCTATGTCCTTAGCCTGATCGACAATGGTCTCGATGACGTTAGGCCGACATGCTTTGGCCGAAGTCACACCGCACGAGGGGCTTCCTGCGGCCGACCACAGACATCGCATACATTCCTGAGAAGTTTGGCGTTTGGCCTTTCAGGCATCCTTCTTTAGAAGTTCTGCATGTGGAGTTGATCTAGACCCTCTGTTCTTTTTGCTAGTCTATAGGAGCGGGCTTGGCTTTCAGAGGGCACGCATGTCAAGAAGCTGCGTAGTCCGGGCAGAAGCTTTTGTGGGACCCTCATGTGACTCATGTGGGACGCCATGTGGTTTCGCTTCTTGTTTAAGTCAAGGCTAAGTCCTACTGGGGCGTCTAGCGCAATAATTACCCCATGTCCCTGCGGCTATGCGTTTTTCTTGCATAGGATTGTTTTGAGCGAGCTTCACCGCCATGACACCCTGCCAGCTTGCATCTTCAGCCAGGATTGCGTGAACATCTTGCTGCAGGCGCTGAATGCCTTTAGGATTTTGGTCTTTCTCATGCTCATGTTTCTTACGGCCCTTAGCTATCGAGCTTGTAGGGCTGACCTGCCTGGTTGCTTTTGAGGTCAGTGTGCGCACTGTTTGACGGAGCGATGCTTCCAGAACAAGTTGTAGTGCGGTCGCTAGCCAGAATTTTCATGGAGGCCAGTGAAAAAGGGTTTCAGCGTGCCCTGGAAACAGGTGATCTTCCAGTTACCGTACATGCGCTCCTTTGACCTCCGAAGGCCACGGATGGAATCCGCTGCGGGTGTAATGTTGACTTCGCATTAATAAACCCCGCCCCCCCCCCCTCATTGATCAATCTCTCCGGCCAGGATGGCCAGGGCCTCCTCAATAATGTTCGCCTAAATCCTGGTAGGACGTACTATTAGTTTTAGTATTAGGTAGTAGCACCACGCCCGTAAAAACCGGATTTCCCGGGTCGGATTTTACAATTGTGGCGGGTTACAATGTTGTGTTCCGGCAGCGGGATTTTACAATTGCGGCGGGAATCACTAATGTGAAGTCAACATTATTTGGCAAACAGTTGTTGTACTTATTGAGATTATTGCAATGCGCTCTCGCTCAATCGTAGAAAGGCCGCTCAGGGGTACTCGCTAGCGGTTGCTTTACACAAATAAGCTGTGTGCATCTTGTGCGTTCTTCGCTACTCCCATGCTGCCTGATGGTGAGCCTCCGTGGTCCCTTGAAAGCAAGGTATCTCCGAAGCGATGTTCAGCCGCTTTGGTCAGAAGTCACAGGTTCCTCTTGAGTTCAAGCTGCGTGCAGGAATTGCTTTTCCAGCGAGGGCATCAAGAGAATCGAGGACAGCATTTCTGAACCCTACGCTCCCGTCAAAGGTCTCCTGCGTTGGTGTTGTCTCGGTAGTTCAAGAAGTCGCCAATTCGAAAATCGAACGCGGTCGGTGGGGATGTAAAGCCGAATGCATGAGCCTTTCCACCGCAACAGGAGCAGCTGCGTGACATGGATGGAGTCACCGCCGTCATTAAGACCGTCGAGGGGGCCGCGGGCCTTGCAATCGATTCTTTCCTGGGCTCCGACTGCCTTGGATAGAGCCTTTCGGAGGTTCGTCGCAGAGCCGAATAGTGATGCGCACTGAGCCTTCGGCCCCCTCTTTTGCTGTTGCTTCACTCTGAGGTCATCAATGTCCATAGTGGCAATCAGCTGCGCATGTCGCTGGACGTCAGCGAGCAGGCTCTCCAAAGTGTGGATTGGTTCCGTCGCCTGTGTTAGCTTTGCGCTCCTCTGTTCCCACGCCGGTGCGCCGATCATGGGCACGAGACATGGGACCCACCCCCCCCCAGCTGTGGTTCATGTGTAGGAGGTTTCCCCCCTTTATTAAGGGCTGGGTTGAGGGTTTAGGTTTACGGGGCGGGCCGAGAATGCGGACCGCGGACGCGCCCGGGGCTTTAAGGGCTTGGGGTTTAGGTTTGTTTTTTTGTTAAGGTCCTTGGGGCTTCAAGGTTTTCAGTTTCTTCTTCTTCAGGGGTTTCTAGGGTGGTTGGCGAGCAGGGGCCGTTTCGGGAACCGGGTCCCTGTGTTTTTTAAGATCAGGGTTCGGGCCATTTTCCGAGCAGGTCGCCGTGTTTTCCGACCAGGTTTTCGGATCAGGGCGTTAGCTTGACCAAAGGGCCGACTCCGCGTGATGAAGCGCGGTGGAATGCAGACTGCAGCTATGCTTTTAGAGCACCATGGAAGCCCTACAGTATCCCTACTTTTTCCCCCCTTCACACACACACAAAATATCAGCAACTCACAAATTGCAGTTGGCAAAAGAGCAGCTGGCGAAAGACGTCGACTTTAGCGACGCGGCCCCAGCATGGACTCTCTGCTTTTTTGCTTCTTGGGCAGTGAAGGAGGCAGTGAAGGAGGCAGTGAAGGAGGCAGTGAAGGAGGGGTTTTGAGAGGTGAGGCTCTGAGGTGACAGGTTTCAATCGCTTCGACTGAGGTGGACCAGACCCTGAGCCACACGGAAGCTGATCCCTTCTTGGAAAGTTCGGCTGCGAGGCCGTGGCTTTGACCACAACCAAGATGTCCCTGGCAAACTTGACTACCAAGAGTACCGAACTGCCGGAATCGTTACCTCTTTGTTAGTGCTCGGAATTCTCCTTAGCTCCTTTCTCTTGGGCAGTGAGTGCGTTGCGGGGTCATATTGAAGCCTCTTGAGCGGAGTACCAGGTTTGCCCTCAGTGGTTGCGAGGTCTGAGCACCTCTGGACCAAGACGGCAGCGGCCGGTGCCACGCAGCGGCCGCCGCAGAAGGCCTCGGAAATGCAGAAAGCAGGGCACACATGGGCACACCTTCAATTTCACATGGCGCCGGTTCTGTTGAAGGGTATTGAAGCGTGTTTCTTGGGGAGGGACCGCAGTGATGCTCATGATGCCCGCCATTGAAAGAAAGCGGCGTGGGCAAGGGATAGTGAGACTGAGGTGGGTACGAGGCACCTCTTAGGTGCAAGTGCCGGTCAAAGGCAGAAAGGAGAGGAGGAAAAGCAAAGCGAGAGGTGGGTCAGCAGTCAGCTTGCGAGGAGAAGCATTGAGAGGAGGGGCGAGGTGAGTGCTGTGCTGGTGTCTGCTCTGCTGACCAGTCCTCCTAGGAGTTGGCTGTTCCCCTGCCGAAACAAAGCCTCAGCTCCAACGCAGGGCGTGACAGATGTGTCAGCCGCGCCATCGGAGAAGGCCGCAGGTCCGCAAAGCCGCACTTCTGGGGCTTTCAGTCTTGGGAGTCGGGCATCTGGGCCCAGTGGGGCGGTTCAGAGGGTGGAGAGATTCGACAATCGAGCGAGTGAACCAAAGAAGTGGGACACGGCCTCCGAGTGGAAGCCCAGAAGCTTTGCCAAACACATGCCAGCTGCCCCGGCGGCGCCTGCGGTGGGCGGGCCTCCTGTTGGCCTGGGTGGGCCTGGCAACCTCGCGGCGTTGAACAAGAAGGCCCCGAAGGCGCGGAGAGGTGAATCCTGAGAGTGCCACAGGTTCTTGAGTAGGAGGGCCTCTAGGGCTCCTTGATGTTGCTTGGTGCGCCAATGTGCGCCAGATGGGCAAGTCGAAGACCAACAACTCCTTGCCCGATCCCAAGAAGCGGGCGAAGGGCCGCGCCAAGGCGGGGACGAGGGAAGTCGGAGTTTCGAACGGGCTTCTCAGCTATCTCCGTGGCGTTCTCTAGGCTGCAGCTGTGCAAGCCGGGAGGGATGCTTGTATCGACGTCTGATGAGTCCTGACACGCCATAGAGCCCTTCGACAGGCAGCGCCGCCTCCGATCTTGGAGTGCCCTGGGGCTCATGGGCCTGCGGTCATAGGGGTTCTTCCAAGACAAGCATGTAGCAATCAGGTAGTGAAACGGCAGCAAAGGTTTGAGAGACGCAGATCTGCTCAGGTTGTTGAAGAACCTACTATGCGAATGTCGGAGTTGAACGTAGCTCGGCCACCTCAAGCTTGAGCGCTTGAATGATCCGTGCGAAGTCTTCGTCTGAATTGTTGTTGAGGTACATCCCGAGTGACCGCCGCATCGACAAGTGGCAGGCACGCTCTGGTGTGGCCCTGTTGTGTGGTGGCCTTGAATGAGGATCATCGGAACAATATTGCATGTCCACTTCTGAGTAGCCGCAGGGATGGGAGGGTTTTGACGAGTTTGGACTTTCGCAGGTGGGGAACCTGGACTCAACGCCTCGGATACCTCAGAGGATGAGTGCGAACCTCAATCGAACCGCCAGAAGAGCCATGGCTGGGTTTAGCCAGACAAATGTCTTCTGGCAGTGTTACGTAGGGTGAAGGTTTCCCTCCTCCCCCCCAGCCGTGGTGTGGCTGTGGGTGGGTTTTTGTGTTTGGAGCTTAGTTTACGGGTTTATTTTATGGCTTTGCTTTATACACCCTTCCGTAGGGTTATACCGTTTAACATTTAGGGTTTTCAGGTTCGGGTTTAAGGGTTTAAGGTGTCAGGGCTTCGAGTTTTGGGGTTTAGGGTCTCAGGGTTTGGCTTTCAGGGGCTCATAGGGTTTGGGGAGGGGAAGGGGGGGGATACCATTTAGGACCCATGGCTGGGGGGGAGGAGAACACAGTACACAACCATATGAAAAAAAGCAGAAGCAGCTTCGCAGAATCACATGTTCGAAGCCCATGGGCAACGCACTCTATGCCGGTCGCAGCCATCCTATGACAGAAAATCCATGAAGTTTGCATGAAGGTTCCTCCACGACCAGCCTGGTCGACTCGCGGCCGGCCTCTGCGGGGATGCGAAGGCTCTCAGCATTTCTCAGCCTGTAACACTGTAGTAAGCACATTGAGCATTCAGCCGCCTCGCAGCCTCACAGCTTTCAGCTTTCGTCACCACTGCAGCCCCAAGCCTTGGCCCGAACCCGTCGCCAAAGATGGATGCGGCGGGGCCTGGGACCGTGTGGCCCTGTGTGGGCCGCATATTGGGATCTGCACAAAACCCATCTTGTAACACACCTAGCCGAGAGCAACTAACTGGAGCTGTGCTGGACTCGCAGCACCTGTATCACTCCGAGCCTACTCCTGACAGCATAAACAGCATAAAAAGCATACCCTTCATGCGTCGCACATCGCAGCATCTTCAGCCGGACCAAGAGTCGGTTCGGTGATGCCATGGACGACCTTCTCCGAGCAGCCCGGTGGGGTCTCCGGATCTTGCTGGCACCCTGGCTGCCCTGGAAGCCACTCCTTAGGCACCTCCTTCACTCTGCAAGGTCTAAGTCTAAACCGGTGCTTGCAGGAGCTTTGATGGAGCCTCACTGTAAGACAACTAAACGTGGCTAATAATTATGGGCATGGGTTATTCTTGGCCTGGCCAGAAAGCATGTGCGGAAGAGAGCTCAGGCGGATGCTCTCCGCCTCGCAAAACGTTTGTCACGGGCACGCAGGTGGGCAATGCATGTCCCGCACGAGACACTCAAAGCCACTGAAAGAAACGGAAGAGTGTTGGAGCATGTCGCATTGTTCTTATATATGAACCTCGCTACTTAGTTGTTATGCATTGCAATACGATCTCGGGTCTGCAGCTCGTGCGAGCGCAGGCTGGTTGTCAAAAGGATGCCGCGTGGTCGTAGCTGGTTTTTTTGGCGCAGGTCCCTTATGCTTTCGCCGCTTTCGCCACCGAGCAAACGCTGGCCAAGTCTCAAGCTCGCTCACGTCGCAAAGTCTGCCAGGGCCTTCGTCCCCGTGGCGCTGCTTTTCCTGGCGCTGCTGCTGCGGCGCCTGCGGCACCGCCGTGGGCCGCGACAGCTGCAACCACTGCTGCCACCAAGGCAAGGGGCAAAAGGAGTGGATTGGCGGATCCTGGTGGTTCAGTGGTGCATGGTACAAAGGTGGCGGTACTGTGGGTCAGTTGGGAAGTGTGGGCACGTGAATGACAAGGCTCCAGGCCTCCAATCCCATCATAGAGCAAGGTGCCAGCTTTGCCATATTGGAATCATGTGGAATCCAGAATTCCACATCTTGCAAAGAGGTAACATGCCGAACATCCGCTGTCCATGAGCCCATGACTTCATCTGCATTCAGGCTTCCTGAGACTTTGACAAGATCGCTTCGCAGCTTCGATGCCGTGGTCGTGCAACTCGACGTTATTCCATGCGCTGGGTAGACAAGCTGCCTTGTGATGATGACGCTGATGGCGATGATGGCCATGATGACAGTCATTGCCATGATGACGATGCTCTCCGGATGATGATGATGATGATGATGATGATGATGATGATGATGATGATCATGCTGTTGCTGATGATGATCATGATGATGATGATGATGGTGATGATGTGATGAGATCAGATGAGACGAGATGGAAGATGATAATGTGGGCATGACATGCTGATATGACGACATGATGGCATGATGATATGATTATCTGATATGATGATGCTGGTGGTGATGATGCCCTCATCTTCATCGTTGTTTTCGTCTTCATCATCTCTTCCCATTGCAGTGTGGATTGTCTGATAAAGTCTCCTATGGTTCTTCTGCTGCTTTTATCGAAGCCCTTGCGTCCTTCCGCTCTTTGTCGAGGTTGGGACCCGCTGCGGGTGCTTGGAGCCCAGTTTCCGAGTGTGAGAAGGGGAGGAAGAGGGGGGAGGGCGGAGGCCAGAATCCGAAAAGACTGTCGAGCTGTCATCTTATGATCTTATGATTTAATTTGGAAGCTGTCCTATGCTGCCCTGCAAGCTTTAGCACAAGCCCAGTGCTGGCTTTCAAGGCTGGGCCGGGCAGCAGCTTGGAGCGTTGGCTCGAGGTGCCTCTTGGTATCTCTGTGAAGCTCACGGGTGTGGCACGTGGAGGTTCCTGTGGCTGTGATTGCTGTGACATGTCCAGTCAAACTTTTGCAAGCGGCGCCTGCTACTATCGAATACGTGAATAGTGTTTACAGGCGGGATCGCACAGTCACGGAAGAAAAGGCAAAGAAGGACTTCTCAAAGGCATATCGGTCTGAGAGCCCTTTTCCTACGTCAAAGCGGCATTCCTCTGTTCCCCTTCCGCGTCATTTGGATATCGGTGGGTGCTGCTCGGCTTTTCAACCGCCCGGCTCCCGAAAAGCAGAATAAAATCATATAAAATCAGCACCTACTCTTTGCACGTTGATCAAGCGGCCCGATGGTCTTGAGCAGGGCTCCCCAGAGGTGCGGAATTTACAACGGAATCTGAAGCAGCAGCTTGGACGCGGGCCGTGGACCGGCGAAGTCCAGGGGCCTCAAGTTGCCTCAAGCTTTAGAAACACTGTGCATCAGTTTTGCACTGCGTGTGCACAAAGTTGACAGATGTTTGCCAAACATGGACGTTTGTCTGACATTGGAATGTTGGGCTGTCAGCATGCAGGCAATGGCAGACGTCCCCTTCACTGCCATCTTGACCGAAGGCGGCCGCAAACGGTGTGTCTGCAAGGTCCTGTCTGGAGCCGTGCGCGTCTCTGAGAGTTCAGGCTTTTAGGTTCAGGCAGGTTGAGTTAGGTTTAGTTAGGTGAGTTAGGTTGAGTTAGGTTTGTGTTGGGTAGTTGCAGCTTCCGTGCTGCCACCGCTGGGGTGAACAGCACACCCGGAGTTGAGCGTCAAGTTTTTCCGCGGCCCAATCGACAGCAGCACCCTGTACCAACTCCATGCAACCGGAAGTATCTCGAACTGTTGAGCCACCTTGTTCTACACGAAGGAGAGCCAACTACCGTCCGGCTTTTTGGATCCTGGGACTCGAAGGACAAGTGTGCGTAAGAGCAGTGTCCAATCGAGAGGCTGGTGCTCCGAGTTTGATGACCACTTCCCTCACTCCGTCGGGAAGAACTTTGGCGGCTCCTTGGGATCTCGAGTGAACTCTGAGGGGCTCCCTAGCGCTGATTTACGAAGAGTTTCAGGCATGGCATGACCCCGAAAGCAAGGCTACGCCACCATCCTGTCCAAGCCCAGAGTGGACAAGCCGCCTGGGAGCTCTCGCCCCGTGCTGAGGCCGGAGGCTCAAACTTTCGCAGCAGTGAGAACTTTGTCAATCTTCTCGGAGAATAGAAGGGGTGCTCTCTCATTTTTCTCACAGCTTTTTTTTGGTTGGTGGGTCAAGGGGGAGTTCCCCAGGCTACGCGGTGCCGGCCTCGGCCTGGAACCCGACGAGCCGACAGATGAGTCGGGGATCCCGGCTGGGACTGGGGGTGCGAGACTGAAGGGATCTGAAGGGGTTACCAAGGATCAGGGAATGATCAGGGGTCTTCCCACAAGGAGGCACAGAGGCATAGAGATAAATCTGCAAGCACATCAAGCACTCTAGCACCTTCCGAAGGCGGAGCGAAGAGACGCAAGATGACGCCAGCCAAAGAACGGAGACGGCACTTGTGGCAGCAACCGAAAGTCAGCCGTGGACATAACACATCGGCTTGCGGGCCTGCTGCAAAGATTTCATGACCTAGCGTTCTCAGGCGAAAATGAGACGACTTCAACTCTGAACCTTATGGAATGGCTGTTAAAGCACGCCCAACGGCACGCAGCTAAACGCTCGTTGTCCCGCAGCACGACACATTCGGACCTCTTTCATGAACGACCAAGAGGCATGAGGATCAGTGCAAATGTCTACCAACCGTTTAAGCAACATGACACACGCTGCGCTCCACAGGTCCTTCCTCGTGTTTCTGCGAGACCTCTTCCAGTCCAAGGCAGTTCTGGGTTCGAATTTGGATTGTTTGGTTCAGGGTTCGTACGCAGCGGGTTGAGATTGCAGAAGTATGCAGAAATCTCTCGAGGACGTCTTCTAGTACTAGAGAAGCCAAGCTCCCAAATCGTGACCAGGGACCGTGCCGCCGTTCACATCTCTCCTTCCCACAGCCGAAGCCCAAGTTCCCTCAAAGGCCACGCGAAGCCGAAGCTAACGAAGTGAAGTGCACATCCCCCCTAGAAGTTTTGCCTTGTTCAATCCGATGGGGGCACCCTTTTAGCTGTTCGTCAACTGGGCAACCCCGAGCTTCCTTGACGCTGGCTCTCTATGTGCAACCGAATTGGGTGGGGCGAGCTTCAGAGGCTTCTTTAGCTCTTGGAGGCGCTTCCTCTTCCTTTCTTGTGTTTTGGAGAATCATTTTTTTGGAATCTGAGAAGAATTGCTTCCACCCTTCCAGCATGCGCTGCTGGTGGGCTGGCCCATGCTGCCGCCCGGTGGGCTCTTAGGACGAGCCCTGAAGGACCTCCGAAGCCCGTGTTCTCCGAAAGGTGAAGGGAAAGTAGGTTGGAGGAAGTCCTGCAGGCATGTTCTGTAAACGCGATGATGCTGAGTTTCGGGTGTGGCCCCTCCCAGTCCACAAGCACGGTGATGCACGCCACAACGCCACAAAAGCCGCGGCTGCAGTGCTCGCGAGCACTCGAGGACGCCTGGTCTCAGACCCGCCGGCGCGACGCACGGCGCACGGAGTCGCTCGGAGCCGGGAAGAGTTGGGTTTTTGGAGATTTTGGGGAGTTTCATCAGTTTCATAAAAATTTCGTCATCCGTCTCTTTGCAGCCCCATGAGTTTCGCATCCTGTCTCAGCCCCGCCTGGTCAAAATGAGTCGGGACGCAATCTTCCATGCGACCCTTGTGCCACTTCATGATCATTTTTGCCCCCTCAATGTTTTGCTCTCTCCCGTGCTTTGTATGTTTCCGAGGCCCTTGGCCATGGCACTGGCGGCGCCGGGCACGACCCGGGAGCGCTGCTTCGAGGCAGGGCGGGGCTGCAGGGGAATGCCAACTTCAAAACGCGGCACCTCCCCCACACACAAACCCGTAGAACTTCCGAAGTTGTCTCTCCGTGTCCTTGCTGAAGTGTTAGTGACGGAGTGCTGCAAGCTCGTCGTTGTTGCTGTCTCGTTTTGGGCTTTGCTAGTTTAGTGACCAGAGGACAGGCCAAGGCGTTTTGCAAGGTATTTGAGGTCGCCTTAGGTGGTGTATCTTCAGTCCGAAATTATGGTCTTCACAGCCTGCTCAATTCATAGATTCGTTTTGCAGGGATCCGTCGGCTTGCTGCGACAGGGCTGCCAGCAAGCCAGAAGTCAGCGATACGCCACATATCACATATATCAGAATATATATCATATATCAGCAAGTTTAGCTGAGGATTACGGCCTGGAGATCATCGTTGCCGAGAGCGCTCTCGGCACCTTTGCAGAGCAATGCTTTCAGTCGTGCCCGGGATGCCAACTGGAAGTCACTCACTACTCACTGGTGTCAAGGTTTCAGCTTGGGATGTGATCTTCCATCGGGTTCCGCTGGGGATGTCTTGACGTCCACTACAGTATGGCTGTTAGGAATTTGGAGACCAATGAAAGCCAAAACACGAGAAGGGAGCATGGAAGCAAGGCCTGCAGATCTCGAGATCTCCAATCTCCCCAGCTTCCCAGGTTTTGGAAGCCTCTTAGACAGCCCTCCTGTCGAAGCGATGCACCCAGGTTGGCACGCGACTGCGGCGACTGAGAAAAGAAGGGCTATGCAATGCCGAATGCACATGCAATGCAGCTAAGATGAGTTGGGCAATGGCCATGAATGTCCTATGAACGGGATAATCTTGAGGGCTTGCACTAAAGGAAAAGTTGAGTTGAAAAGATGGTATAGACTTCAAGACCATGCAACAGGAAAGGCCTTGCAGCCCCTGCACTTAAAAGGCCAAGGCCTCCCAATGTCCTGCTCCCCAGCGCTGAAGTCGCAGGTCAGCGTCGCAGAGAGCGGAGTTCTCCCGATCGGAGGCAGCTTGTGCCACGCAGGGCATTTTTGGGCATGTGGGCATTCTTGAGCAGATGGCATGCCGTGCTTTAATCAGATGAGGGGAATCTGTTCTACACCTTCGGCTGTGCTGAGAATGCTTGAAAGTCGAATCTTTGTCACCCTGGGACTGCAAACGCTGTAAGCTGGAGCCCAGCAAAGCACGGCTTTAAGCACGAACGTCAGGAGAGGCTCGAGCCCCTCCGGAAGCTCGGGGCCTGGGGGCTGGGGCCATCGGGCGTTCGGGGCCTTTGAGCTGTCCGGTATGTTCCGGTACGTTGCATGGTACGTGTGAGTGACATGTGCCGGAGAGAATAGGCTCATGGCTTCGTGAATGCATACTGAAATCTGGTTGCGGAACGCTCAGGTTCGCAAATGTACAGCCCCTTTTCTCTAGCCTTTCCGGAATCAGTTCGAGAAGCCAAGCTATGCCCGCACTTTACATCAGCTTTCTGCGCTTTTATTTCGAGGCTCACGGACCGATCGCCACAGCCCTCGCAGAGGCGTGTTGTGAAGAAGCTCAGGGCTTCACTCGTTTGAAGAAGCAAAGTTTCAGGTTTTTTTCAGGAGACGCTTGGTTCACTCAGTTGGGATGTTTACTGGCTGGTTTCTGACTCGCCGAGAAGGTGAGGTCAGGTTGACAGGTTGGGTGGAAGATGGAGTAGAGTTAATTTTAACGCTACGCGACCCGCCTCGGCCCGGCCCAGCGCATCCGCGTGAGCATGGTGATTCCGCAGCGCCCAAGTCGCTGGACCCCAAGCAATAAGGGTTGGGTTTAGGGTTTAGGGTTCCGGGTTTATGGTTTATGGTTTGGGGTTTCGGGTTGAGGGTTAGTTTAGGATTGAGGGCTTAGGGCTCAAGGTTCACGCTTTGGGGTTTAGGGTTTTTTTGGGTTTAGGGTTCAAGGTTCAAGGTTCAAGGTTGAGGGTTGAGACGGTTCGGCTTGGATTGATCGTAGGGTTGAGCCAGGTGTCGGTAGGGGGGGTTTGGGGGGGGGGTGGGGGGGGGGTTGGGGTAGGGTGGGGGGTGGGGCCCTGCTGGGAGGGGCTTCAACTGCCTCTGGTCCTGGCGAACCGTCCGCTTGCGGACCCCGGTTTCCTGGGGGGGTACCCCTTTACAAAAGGGTTTTGGGTGTAGGGGGAGGATTTGGAGGGGGGTGCCTGTTCTCACAACCTATACACCTTCGGCCCGAGGCCTCGGCGGATTTGTGGGTTTGGAAATTGAATATGGAATATTCCTAAAAGTCATTGCTTAACACATTGCCAAAAAACAGCCTTGATCCCAGTACTGTAGTCCTTGTGAGATTAAGGTTTCAGCTCATTTTCAGTATGCCAGACTGTTTGTGACAGTTCTGACTGTACACGTCTTTGAATCAAGAGCTGCCATCAAGGTCTGTAAAGAAGCTCCCGGCAACTGGCTACCGGTGATGCCGGCTCCTGACCTCCGACCAGCCACCTTACCATCGGCTAAAGTTTCTATTGCCTCCCTGGCCTGTGTCAAGGGTTCAGGCTTAACTTCTTGGGGACTGGAAGTGTTCCAGAACATAACCTGGCAATAGCCCTCCACCCTGCTGAATGCTTACTGGAGGAGATTTTTGTATTAATTCTATGTGTGTGTATATATATATATATATACGAGTAGGAGAAACAGCATCGGCCGGCATCGCCCAATGTAGTAGGCAGGTAGGACTCTCGCCTTCTGAGCGGGAGAGTTTCACCCATTCAGGGGCATGCTCCCTAGGGTGCTAGAAGTTTGCATTCGAGTCGAGTCATTGCCAAATCATTGCACGACTTGACCCACACGACTTTCCTTGTTCGGGGTGTTTGGGGCTGCTCTCTCCGATTCGCACCAAGATCGCCCACCTCCGTGGGCCAATGTACCAAGTCTCACGCCGATTCGCAGAGATTGTAGTGGGACTGCGGCTCAGTGTTCTTGGGTCGTTGCACAGCGGAATCCTGCTTCGACATGCCGCAGTCGCTGACTCAGCTTCCAGTTGTACAGCAGCTGCTCTCTGAACTTCCCTTCCTCGGAGATGATGGCGCCCTGAGGTGTTTGTAGAGGCTGTGGCGCAACTGCTTGATGTAAGTCAGTTCTCGTCAGTGCCTTTGCGATCCGGAGGTTTTCTGTTCCTTGTCGGAAAGGGCTCAGAGGGCGATATACTTCACAAGGAGAGATTCCTAGCAATTAACAAGTTCTTCATCTTAATGCAAAGGGCTACCGCTGTCCGATCTTTCCCAACCCATGCCAGAAGCTTGAAAGGAAGTTTCAAAGAGATCTTCAGTCCAAGGTCGACGCATGTCATAAAGCGCGCCGTCTCCACCCCCAAAAGGGAAGTTGTAGTCGAGCAGAAGGCGCATCGTTTGCTGAACGTTCCGTGACAGCAGTTCGGGAGTTAGATTCAAGAATGATTGCTCGAACGACCACTCCTCCGTGCAGCTGTTCCGATAGTATATTCACCCCCCCTGCCCCAAACTTGGTGAACTTTGCCTTCAAGCCTTGTATTGACACTTTGTACTCGGATCTTGGCTCCCAATCGACCATTTGCCATACTTCCCCAACCCCAATCGGCAGCTTCCAAAAGCAAGAATGACGATTCTCATCGATTCTCGGATTCTGTGAGGGAGCATTGCACGTCGCGTGAAGGCTGCGATGTATGCGGCAGAAAGACCCATTGAATAATTCAAAACAGTGCAGGGTTGGTAATGCGCCGTCCCAGTGTGTAGGTTGTGGGTGGCAGGCCTTCTGCGTGTCGCCAGAATCACCAAAAGCTCCCGGCGGCTAGGCTACCGCAAGCCCCGATACAATGCTGCTGCCTGTGACCGCTGCGAACTTTTGTGAGCCTGGCCGTTTCACACACTTTCACCCTGCATGTTGATGGTGAGCACACCAGGGTGCAGGACCTAAACAGAGCGTATTTCATCCCCGCGCTCGTCTTGATGAGTGTTGTGCTGTGTTAAGCTGTTATGGCTGTGTTATGGGGGGAAGCAGTTGTTTCTTCACAGCAGCCATGCCTTCCCCACAACTCGTTGTCCTCAACGCGGGGAAGCCTTTGCTGATGCCGGCAGCTTTGTGTGTTTGAAAGCCGTACCCACCCCAAGTTTGTTTCCACTGTTCCCCTCTCTCCTTCTCAGTTGGCCGTAAGTTGCATGTGAACAGTGGGCACGCGCAATGATCTGCGCATGTCAGGGGCTCGAACTTGTGCCTTCAGCCTGCAAGTAATGAGCGCACAATGAAAGGCACAGCCTGAGCCCTGTCTGTCACGAGCCCCGTCCATCGAATGGCCCCGTGGTCATGCGTGCCCCTTCACAGCTGAGCTCAGACAGTTTGTACCATGCACCCTCCCAAAGCCCCACACATGCTCAATTTCAAGACCACGTCCCCGCATTGTGGTCAGAGCCTTCTTGCAGCATGCCCGGCGCAGCGGCAGTGCTTTTGCAGGAGGAGCAGCCCCTGGGAGGAAATGCATCATGTAACCGAAATTTTCTCGTATTTGTCATAGAGTCATGGGGCATGCTGTGATATGCTGTGTGCAGGATCATGGGTGGGGCGGACTTGATGCTGGCTATTTGTCCTCCGTGGGTACCGCCCTCAGCCCAAACCACCGTGTACAGTTCAGTTTCAGCCTTTGCCTGAAGGCGTCCTACTGAGCTACCTGGGCACTGCGCATCCCAGAAAGTAAAGTCTCGCCTTGTGCATGAAGTTGCAGCATGTGCCCTCATCTCGCCGTTTCGGCGAGCCTCCAGCACGTATGCACACGCGCCAACGCTAACACGCACGCACGTGCGCGCGCACACACACACACACACACGCGCACACAGAACATTCATGCTGCTCTGTCATTTTGAAACTTCGAAAGGTCTACAAAGAATGACAATTGCAATTACGTACTGTATGCTTAGAGGCTCCAGCTCGTCAGCGCTGTTAGCATTCCTGTTCGTTTCTTCAGATTGCCCGAGCACACGTATTTGCACCCGCTTGGAAGGCATCGGACGCGGACTCCATTGGAGCCGCTTCTTCAGCCACGTGGCTGCGGGTCTTCGTGAGACCAGGAATTTGCTGTTCGGGTTTGGGGTTGAGGGTGGCAAAAAGTGTTCGGAAAAGGCTTGCTGCGCCGGTGTGATCTGCTATTGCCTGGCTGTAATCTCTCAGCTGCTCTCGTGCTGGAGTCCGTGCACGAGTCAATTTGAATTTAGACCATACGCATCTCCGACGAAATGGAAGCCCCAGCAGTCGTGGCGCATCAAGAAGGGCACCTGATATTCCCATATCTCAGAAGCTATGGCTCCTTGCTAAGATCGAGACGTGTGTGATATGACTTCATAAACAGACTTGCAAGGTGAGCCTCTGTCCTTGGACATCCTCGTCCATGATCCTCTTGTAGCTTGTGGGTACCCAGGGTATTGTTGTGCGAATCGCTTTCCCGTACTTTGCATCACTTTCTGCGACAGTTTGCTGACTCTTGCATGCTCATGCCTCAGCCGAGGCAGCTTCGTCGAGGCTGCCCATGCAGACCCGAAGAACGCACTCACCGTGACCGGCAAAGGCACACACATGAGTGCAGGTATTCTGTGACGAGCGCAGACAATGAGGGTCCAACCACAACAGGGCCATGCATTTTGCAATTCCATTGATCGTTCCTGCCCAGGATGAACATGCCTGTTGTCAGATCCATGTGCCGCGATGGAAGCAGCAAGTCCCCCAAACTTCTACATGAGGAAGGCATTTCCGAGTCAGCATGACTTTGGTCTCGTTGACAGCCCTTTTGGCCCACAGAAGAGTTCTTGGAGTTGGCAGAGAGATCTCTCCCAAGACTGCGCGCTGAACATGGCGTCCCTCTGCTTTTGCTAGCTAGTGAGAAGGCTAGAAGCTCACGGAAGCAGATAGGGCTGGGTCGTTTCGGTTTGCGATCAATCCGTCCCTTTTAAAGAGAACAGAAAGTTCAAAGAGCGGCAGTCCTCCAGGTACAGTAGCCCGATAATCGTCGGCACATGTCAGCACGGACAAGGCAGAATGTAACAGCAGTCCAAGAGCCTTGACTCCGACACGTACGGAGCGGTGCGGTACAGTACCCCAAACTAGGGCAGCAAGGTAACAAGTCGAGAATACTAGGATCACGTGTGTTTGCTGCAATTAGTTGCAGCCAGTCAGTAGGATATGAATGATTGCACGCGACAGACTCGCTTAGTGCTTGCAGCTACAGAACGCAGAGTGATCTCTCGGTGCCGAGGATGGCGACGCGGCGTCTTCCTCTTAGCTCCCGGTCACTTCACCGGGTGCCTTGGGCTGAAACGGCGGACTTTGACTTGGCCTCTCTTTGAACTCTCTTTCAACTCTCTTAAGCTTTCTCAATTTGCGCTGCGCAAGTGCCCTCCTCTGGAGGCTCTGGTAAAGCTTTATGGCAGCCGTACCTTCTCCACCGAGCTACGCGGCAGGAAGTTTCAGCGGAAGGCAAAGATGTCCCAAAAGTAAGATGCAAAAGCGCCATCAATTGTTGAAGGGGCTGGGGTGCGTGCACTTGACCGTCAGGATTCCGAATGCGGACCAGCGTTAGCTGTCACCGGTATAGGGCAAAGGGGAAGTATGGGCCGCGCAGAGCACGGCTTGACAAAGCTGTGAAGCATAATTGCATAATTGCATGATGCTGTTGTTAGTTCTGTTGTCAAAATCTCCTTCGTGATCCTTCGTGGGTTGCATGCGTAAGCACAAGGTGTGAGCGGCACATGTGTGGAAGAAGGCGTCACGACTCCACGACTCCACGGTTGTTCCCTGAACTTCGCCAGGTAGTGTGCGCTTGAGCCGCGGTGAAGAATTACGGCCAGTAGAGCCGCCAAAAGCCCACAACAAACCTTCTCTGCACACAGCGCGCCCCCTGCCCAGGATTTTCCAGCCCACGGATGCCTTCTCTCCGCGCCACCTCGGCCCGCTCCCCAAGGCATCTAATACGAGAACAGAGAGGTTACACGAAGTTACTAATTTCGTTACAGTTCATCTTCAGATAGGCTGCTTTAGAGAATTCGGATGAGCAGAGCGAATTGGGAGTCCTCTTAGGCAAGGGCCAGAAAGCCATGGGCAATGCGTGGTGTTAATGCTCGGGACCATGAAGCTCAATTGGCCAACAGCGCTTTTGCTGGTAATCTAGATCAACCTAGACTTCAGGCAGCTTCTGAAAACTGAACCGGCTGGTGACCGCAGGACGTGCAGGAGATGTGCAAGACCATCGGGGTGAAGGCAAGGAGAACTCCAAACGCCCGAGCGCGGTGCTTGCACAGGGTTTCATATGACAACAGACGGCCAGAGTGCTGCTACACTGGGATTCTACGGAATCGTCGAGGTGAATCTCAAACTTCCAGGAGGGTTTGGTCCAGCCATACTCCCGCCGACATTCTTATCCGCAACTTTTGGCCAATTTGGTACGAGATGACATGATGGACACAGCAACACAGGATCTGAGCGCGCTCATGGAAGAGACGATTCCTGCCTCCGTGCGCCGTGAGCAGGACAGAGTGCGCAAGGAATTGTTGGGGTCGTAAACCCAATGTGGAGCGAACCAACGTCGTCGAGGGACATGTGCGTCTTCCGTGAGGCGTTGGTTGTGCCTCAGTCTTCGGATCCTTGCACATGGCAAAACCAAACGAGGCCATTTTCCGTAGTTAGGCAAGTAGCCTAAAGCAGTCCTGATCTCCCAATCATGGAGCTTCCACGCCCGAAAACCTCAGGAGCTGGACCTCCCTGACGGCTCGCTCGGCGAGTCTGGATCGCTGGCTCTGCTCAAAGAAATGCGCCTTGCCTTTCCTCCTCATACAGCTTGAAAGGGCACTCTGACGCTTGGTCACATGGGTATATGGCTGCGTCAAAAGGGAGTCTGTAACAGGTTCTGGGCGTCTTTTTTGCGACGTAGGACCTGCGGCAATGTTCTCGGTTCAACCAGCTGAAGGAGGTTTCCGAGACGGGTCCCGAAAAATGCGTCCTATGCCAAAATTGGCACGACACACACAATCATACGTATGTAACGGAGGTGGTCAAACACACAAGTATACATGTGGCTACGCGTATGGCCTAGCCCTGCACTTCTTCAACGTTGTGTTCTGTGCATGAGATGAGGCTGAGCAAGAACATCGTCGCGAAGAATTTCATTGGCATGGGCTATCATGGCTCCCACATTCCAGGTGCTCTGTCTCTCCCTTTCTTCGTTTTTTTTTTTTTTTTTTTTCTCTCTCTCTCTCTCACCCCTCTCTCTCTGTCTCCTTCTCTCTGATTGTTGGGTGACCCAGGGCCTATCTTGCGAAACCTTTTGGAGAACCCGGGCTGGCAACCTGGCTCAGAATGGAAACTCGAGGCTTCGATGAAATCCCAACTGTTCCCTTCTTTTTGGAGGGCTGTTGTTTGAATATTCCTCCGTGGCCCTGACTGCATGCACTTGGGACTCAGGCTTGCAATTGTTTTTTGGGGGACTAGCTTGGATGGATCAAACTCATGGAAGATCATGCGTTCCATAGCCGAGATGTGTCACAACGGAAGGTTCGGAGCAATGCACACTGCCACCGTCAGGCCCCGGCAAGCCCTATAAACCACTTCAGGCCCGCCTGAAGGGCCTTCTTTTAACAAGAGTTCGAGCCAAGCCGAAGGTGCAGCGAGTGTGCAGGCGTGCATGAGTCATTGGGTCCCGTGAAAGGTGAGTTGCAATTTGTGTCGGGGTCCCCTTCGAAACCCGTAGCGAGACAGCGCGCACCGTGTGGAGAACAAGAAGGGTGGGAGGGGCCAGAGCGCATGTGCTTCTACTTCTGCAGTCCTCTGGCAGCAGGTACATAGCACTTGTTGAAAAGGAAGTTGCACCTGGGCAAAGTGCACTATGCGACACTTGTAGCTGCAAGCTCATTGCGCGAACCCACGCCTGACCTTTCTAGAACTTGTACTGATGGCACTGTTCCGTGCGAGCCTCCCGAGGTACACGGCTTACACCCCCTACCAAGCTGAGATCTCACAGGGGCGGCTCGAGTCCCTGGTGCGGAGCCCAATGCCAGTCTCGAGTTTTCGTTTCATCTTACTCCCATACCCCGATGCCCAGGCTATCGGCGCTCTCCACTTCAAACACTCTGCTACTGCGGTCACTGTAGTCACAACTACATACTGCCCGATGACGACGGATACCAGTACACAAAAAGTGTAGTAAGCTCAAAGATTTGAATCAAAAAGAGAAGCATGCCTGACCTGCTCTCGAACCTCCAGGTGAACTTCCAAACGCTTGTCTGCGAGCTTACCGGTGACCAGACCGCAAAACTGAGATGGAACATCCCCGATGCCTCTTAGAGCCTTGCAGCCTCACCCCTTGTTCAAGCCCGCAAAGGGAGACATCTCGAAGGCATAAGCGGCCAGTGATGACCCAGGTGAAGGTTGCTGATTTTGTGGTGCTTACCTGGTTTCTCTTCAGATGTCAGCCTTGGCTTAAGGATCTCTTAGGGCAAGATCCGTCTCAGTTTTCCGTCCAGGCATGGAGGTGGCGAACGCATCCCTCCTTGACGAAGGAGCCGGGGGAGCAAATGCCATGTTGTGCCATGTTGAGCGCTCTTGGCTTCTTGGCTTTGAAATGCTTTGAAGCATTTCGGCCATGCTTGGGCCGGGGTCGGAAGAGATCTGAGGCGAGGCCTGGGGGCCGTTGGGTCTTTGGCAAAACCTGCCTGAACAATCCAAAATCTGGACGAAGCTTGTGGCGAGGAACTGCAGCAGCGGAAGCAATGGCCATGAGCCTTGGCTTGCCAGGATGTTCTGCGTGGCTTTCCATTCCGATGTAAGGCTTCAGAAGGCAGAGAGACAGAGAGCGAGATGGGGCTCTTCGGTTCTTGAGAAGGGGGAAACACGGCCGTGAGATGCTTGAGAGGTCGGGACCGGAGGCATCCACGAACCATGTTGCACAAGACCCGTCGTGCTGCCCGGGTGCCGAACTGCTCTGGCTGGATGATGGGGCGCGCATCAAGAGGGCCGAGTATGCGCGGACATTCATTCCTTGCTTTTCTGGGATAGAACCGAGCCAGGCGGGGGCTAGAAACAATAATGAGAAAGAGCCTGTCCGTACAGACTCGCAGAGACATCCAAGGATCGCTCGGGCCGTGAACTCCAAGACCAAGAACCAGCCCTTCAGCTGACAAAAAAACAATCTTTTTCTCTCTCTTGAGTTCTTCTCTCTTTTGTGGTTCAACCAGAGGGAGGGAGGGGATAAGCGCACGCGCCCCAACTTGGGAACCTCTTTTCAGAAATTCCCACCAGGTTCTTCATCAGCGACGCTGTGCATCCTCAGACGATCGACTGTATCAAGACGCGTGCGCGCTACTTCGGCATGGCCAGAGCCTTAAAACTTGGAGTGCTTAGAGGAGGCATTAGTTGCAGCATGTTGAAGCATGCTGAAGCTGTGCTGACGATGATGATACCACGTGTCTTTCAAGCTGCGCCGAATCGACACACGAGCACTCCGCAACGCAGCACCCAGAAGTGAAACAGAGCAAGTTCACGCACCGCACTCTACACATCCGCTTGTTGCTTACCAGCAGCAGGTGGTGTCGACATGTGTCGACTTCGTCCTGATCGCACCAGCTTTGAAATCTGCGCAGAGCGACAGGCGATAGTCACACCCCACTGCTTTGCCTACAGGGTGGCGAGAGGAGAAGTTTGAAACGGTTTTTTTTACTTGTCTTTGCTTTTTGCACTTGTGGCGCCGGAGCCGGGTTCCGAGCGGGCTTCGAGCCCATGCGGCGTTCCTCAGAGAATTCCGAAACAAAGACTGCGGCAAGTGGGCGCTGTGCAATATTATGCACACGTGTGTGTGTGTGTGTGTGTGTGTGTGTGTGTGTGTGTGTGTGGCAGACTGGGGTTGGGGCGGTTCTCTACGAACCACTCCGTTGGAATCTCAGGAACTGGTCATCGGAGACCATTCCAAGATGGATTTTGCCTCCATGGACAAACTCTTCGGGGCCTTGGTCCAGCCTCCCTTCAGCATCCGGATGAGTCCGAGACTTCAGGTGCAAGTAGTGACTAAAAGCGTAAAAGCAGTGGAGAAGTATCGGTAGTAGGCGGCATAGAGTTGGAGGAAGTGTCGGAGCAAGAACAATCCAGCACAGTCGAAATCTGGGCCTCAGCGGCCTCCACCTTGAGGTACCCGGACACCAAGGGCCGATTCGATGATTACTCGAGCATGGCACAGGCCGAAACGAACTCCGAAACGCGTTGCCTTCCAATGCTTCGCAAACCAAAAAACGAGAGTTGGAGAAGTCGAGTTGCGAGGTTGAGAAGAGGTTGTGAAGAGGTTGAAAGGTCTCGGCAGGTGTGAACACTTGAAGCCAGCATTGCAGGCCCTTCACAAGAATGGAGCCTACCTGACCGTCGCTGCTGATCCGCCACCTGGCGTCAGTCTGATGTGGCAGTGAGCACACTTGGAGTTCTTCGAAGACTTGCGAACCCCTGAGTGCCTTTACAAAAGACTCTGCTTTTCCGCGCATTTGTTTTGTTTCTTGTTCTCTGAAGTGCGCTTCATCATCTCGAGACGGAGACTTGAACTGGCGCTTGGGTTCCTGAAACGCTCAAAAACTCAATCCGTAATTATCTACGCAATCTACGCGATCTTATTGCTCCTGTGTTTTGGATTCTGCGCCAATCGCCAATCCTTCGATTCCTCGAGGCTTTCGCTGGTAGTGGCCAAGCCTCCCAGACGCTGGGACTGCACGTAGTGGGTAGTGCCGATGCTATCGGATAGGCAAGACGTTCAAAGGCCAGGCATGAGGCGGATTAAGGAGTCATGAGGAGCATGCGCTGGAGCTCGTATGGCCTTCGTGATGGTCATGCTAGCGCTCTTCGACTTTGATGCGAAAAAATCTGGGACATGCTTAGGGACCTTGTGGGCAACTGGATGAGTCCCTCTGCCCACGAGGCGAGTTCGGTGCCGACGTGGTTGTCGGCTCAATGCAGCGCTTCGGCCACCCGGCAACATCTGGCCACCCTCCCCTCCAACTTCATCTGCGGCCTTTTTTCGCGGCTTAGCTGGCTTAGCTCTTCCACTCTCCTCAAACCAAGGCGTGCCCATGTGGTTCGGCGGACCCTCCGCCGCATACCTGGCCACGTCGAAGAAGCAGGCACCGAGTGCGGGGGCTCAGGCTCATCGAAGGTCTCAATCGCTGAGTTGAGTGCCCCAAAGTGGCAGGGTGCCCCATCGTGCGCCTGAGCATCCTCAAGAGTTTCGATGTTAGCGCTGTTAGTATTTGTGTGGGCTGCGCCACCGCCGAGCAAAAGCTCTCCATCACCACATGACCGCACAGCACCGTACTTCTAAGTTTGGGTTCCGGAAGTCTGCCGGAAGTCGGTGGTGCGCATGTCCCGAGTGTGCTGTCCCGGATAGGTCAGGCGCATGCCGGGTCGAATCATCGGCGAGTGCCTGGGCTGGATGTAAGAGTTCCAAGAGTTTAGGATCACTTTCGATGCACAGTGCGCCCGGCCTGCCACCTTTTTTAACTTACTGAGCGGATGTTTCCGCTCGAACGTATACTGGTCCCGAAGGTCGCTGGACAGGCTGGGCAATCCAGCCTACCGACTCACGCTGCAGACGCGCGAGCAGCACATCCGGCTAGACAAGGCATTATGGTGTGTTGGGAATTCTTGGCCGGAGCCGTTGCAAAGCGATCTGCTGTAGCTGCTTAACTAAGCCTCTAAGCGCAGCAGCCACTTGTAGTCACCTGCATCCAGTGCAGCAGCGCTGAGCACTCTGGGCATCTAAGAATCTTAGGGGCTCTCTCATGTTGTGGCTGCCGAGCCAAAGTGAGCCGTGACGAACTGAAAAAAGACCACGCAACCCATTGCGAAGGCCACATCGAATGTGTGCACTGCACAAGTCCTTTTGGCGAACATTGCCGCGATGTACTCCGTGCTGCTCGCCTTCACTTGGCTTTGGTCACAGAGTCGCGATACATGTGCAGGTTTTTTGTTGGCATAACTTTCTTGTGAACCTAGCTGCAGCGATGTCTTTGACAAGTTCCTGCCACCTCCTACCGCATTCTTCAGGTATCATCGTAAGGAAGGGCTCCAGAAAATCGCCAAGAAGGTGGCGGAGAGATGGCTTGAACATGGCTTTCTTGTTTCATCATTGTTTTTGCACCTGGCGTGTTCTGGCGTGTCGGATGAGACTCTGCCCCGAACATCTCTTCGCAGCCCGAAGCCGCCCAAGCCATCAGCCAAGAAGCCATGGGACAGGTCCACGGCCTAGCACAGCTCTTCGCCAGCGAGGTCTCGGGCTTGCCATACGTCCGTAATCCGATATCGGGTCCTGCCCTGGTTCTCGAGCTGTCTGCGGGACTCAATATGGACTCAATACCGTCTAGGGTTCAAGGTGTATTTCGAAGTGCAGAGACTCCCTAGAGATCGTTCGTGCAAGCCTGTGATTTTTGTTAATTTTTTGGCGTTGTCTGAACATAGCTTATCCATGTCTTCGCTGGACATTGCCTGACTGTATCTCGATGCGTCAATGGTTGCCGCATGTTGCAGATCAGTGTCGTAGGTCATTTTGGCTTTAGGAAGAAAGTCGGCGCCAAAATTGGGTTCATGAAGGGTCATCTTTGAGTGCTCTTGAAGGGGTCTTGGCGTGCCTATGATGCTGCAGCGGCATCTTCCACTGTCTGGGGAATACGCCAGCATAAGTTCAGGACTTTCGGGCATTTCAGGTTGGGTTTCTTCTTGCATGTATCCAAGCTGAATTTAGGCGAATGCGATGGGCTTCATCCACCGTCATTAGTAATTAGAGCCTGTTTTGAGTCGCGATCCCTTTGCCCTAGAGGTCAGAAATTTCCCCATGCTGTCCTTGATTTGGATATGAATATCTCAGCAGATTCTGGTTGGTGCTTGTTTAGTTGAATGAAGCGAGGCTTTTTGCATATGCCGCCGAAACATATGGTTTCCGCTTGGTACCAAAACACACCGAAAGAACACAACTCGTGTAGTAAGCCCGATCATACTTTTTGCCGCCTATACAAGCCTGCGTCTGGGTATCATACTGGAGGAGTCATATCCATGGATGCGAATATGTATGAAACCGCGTTTACTTAGGCTTGTTTTGGCATGTTGCATGGAGGAAGTCGTACGTGTGATCCGAGTCATTCGAAACATGTGCATTTTCATTTCATGAACGCACAACCAGAAGCTGCCTTTAAACAGATCTTTGAGAGCATGCCTACAAATGCTGAAGCATGTCCGGGTCACAGAGCCAGATCTGAATCGAAAAGTTGCACGCTCTTGATCTCGGCCAGCTCTGTCAGGCGGGAAAGGCTGGCATGGCGGTTGGTTCCGGGGCCTTCTTCGACACGGTCACCATCGATGCAGGGCGGCTCGGTTTCAGACAAGGCGAAGCAGTTCGAAATGGCCAGCACTATAAGCCTTCGCTGACCATGTAGCAATATTGGGGAATTGAAGAACTTGGGCGGGGCTGTAAAGGTTCTTTCTGTTGCTTGTATTTTTTTGAGGGAAGTAAAACGTAGGCTTGACTACTACTATTACGGTTCTACTACCTTTGCTATGTAATTATATAATTATATCCACATTTGTCACTATTGCTGTTGCTGTGATAGTTCTCAGTTTTGCGACTGCTAGTACGGGTACTAGTCAGTACTAGTTACGACTACCACTGCCACCGCCACCGCCGCCGCCGCCGCCACCACCACCACCACCACCACCACAACCACCACAACCACCACAACCACCACAACCACGACACCACCACCACAACCACCACAACCACCACAACCACGACACCACGACCCCACGACCCCACGACCCCACGACCCCACGACCCCACGACTCCACGGCCCCACGGCCCCACGACCCCACGACACCACGACACCACGACACCACGACACCACGACACCACGACACTACGACGCTGCGACGCTGCGACGCTGCGACACTACGACGACGACGACCACGACTACCGCCACTACCACTACTAGTACGAGTACTAGTACTAGTTGCTATTTCCATGGTATTTCTTAAGAATACAACTAGCATTGCTAGCACTTTTGCTCTTACTATTGACGTATCCTTCTTATTGTATGTACCTGATGTTCTGATTCTTGTAGCTACTGCGGTTTGTAGCACGATTACCATTGCGATTGCCGTATGTCATCACCGTATGTCGTCAGGAATATTATGACCACTATTGGTAACAGTACTACATCTAGCAGCAGAAAACATCAGAACATTGCAGGGTTTCCTGTGAACATACGGAGCAGATTAGCATTAGCTTAACAAAACAGCAAAGCGGGGTCCCGCAAAGACCTGCAGATAAAGGAGGGTTTCCTCGTAACATATGGGGGACATAGGCCTCTTTCAGTATCGCGGAAATCGAGCTTTTCTTCTTAAGAAATGAACGAGGGGAAATAGTTCTGAATCCCAGGAAGTCTGCAAAGACTGTGGTGGAGGCTCTGCAGGCAGCTGCTCAGCCCGTGCCAGCCCTTGCGGCTCATGCATGGGCCCCGCCTGACGCCTGTGCAGGCCAAGCAGCTGAACCTGAGGGCATTTGACGATGGCACGGTGTCTGCTTCCTTTGACGAGACGCACCTGGAGGTGCTCCAGAGATTAGTCAAGAACATGTGTCATTCATGAGTCTCTCATGGAAAAGTTGGAGTTCTGTGCGGGTCTTTGAGACTTCCAGAATGCTGAGAGTCCGCCAGGCGGATGTCCACGCCTTAGTCACAGCGCTCAAGGAGGCAGGTGTGGGCTGCTCGGCACAAGAGATCCTCCAGGCAATCCTTATACGTACTATACATTACATAGGGCGATTTGTGCTTGAACGGTCTAGACTGTGAGGAGGGTTGGTTGTCAGCATTTGTGAGAATTGAGAGGCTTCGGCGTGTCTACCGTCAACGCCGGGATTTAGTTGAGAACTCATCCCTCGGCAAAGGTGGCTCCAGCCCCACGGCTGGCATGACGGTGAACGGACAGAGCCTGGGTTGAGGTGCAAGTTGAGGTTGAGAGAAAGTCGAGAAAAAAAGGTTGGTTCATGTTCCAGAGGGCACATGTTTTGGCTTCCTTTTGAGTCGAACAGCCCAGGATCGACGGTGCTTTCGCTCGTTCCGGGCCTTTCTTGGCACCTTGGCATACGCTCCGGCAACCATTGAACATCCACTGACACAACACACACACACACACACACCAATTCACATGTTTGCTGAATTCTTCCTGTGTTGGAAGTCGAGATGGTCCTTCTGGACGTAAGGAGCAGAAGATCTTCAACTCGTGACTGGGCTGCGGTTATTGTGTACACTGGATCGCGGAGGGCATGCATCTGCCTCGTTCCTGTCGTTCCTGTCGAGCCGGAGCTTCCTTGCTGCCACGGGTCGCGCTCGAAGCAAGCCGTGTAAAATGATGTAAAATGAACGAGGGCGCTCGTTAAATTTCAGAACCTCTTGATGTGGGATCTGAGATCTCTTGCAGGATTCCTGGAGTGCAAGCAAAGGATCTCTTCCGAGACCGAGCTGATGCGCTACTTGATGACCCTGCAGAAGAAGGTGGGGAAAAGCTTGACGCACTGTAACTGCGTGAAGTCTTCCCTCGACACCAGCTTCACGCTGCTGACCACAGCTGCTGAAAGTGGAATTTTCTATGCTGCAGTCTCAAGAAGCCGTTCTGCCGGACCCTCAGAAGCTCTGAGGATTTGGCTCTGGACGTCTCCATGCTCCTTGGAGCTGTCAGTGGTTATACCATGTTATGCCGCCTCCTTCCCCGAACAGTGTGTCAACATCAGGGGGTTAAGTCTGCAAGGTGAGAGGGGATCGAATGGCTTGGGCGCACTTGGCCGTCGCGCGTGGCCTGGACCAGGCGATTTTCTGGAAGCCTACGCGCATTTTGGACGAACATCGCGATCTTACTTTGCAACGCGCGTGGCCACGCGCTCGTCGTCGAATTTGGACTTTGTGCCTGCGAAAGGCGAAGCTGTCGTCGCTTTTGGACGTCTCGCTGTTGGGGTACACTGGCCCTACATAGGCAACTATCCTTCGGTAGATAGAATTTGCCTCTCGTTTCTTGGAATATGGGTGGTTCCCGGACCCATTGTTAGGCAGAATAGGCATTAGGGTCCATGGCTATGACTGCACAGACTAGTTCTCTTTTCCGGTCCTCCTTCCGAGTCTTGGTGCGGGCTTCTGATTTTGAGAGAGTCTTTTCTTGCTGTGAGCCCGCCTTCCTACAGATGTTAACCAAATATGCCTGCTTGTGCACATAAATCATCGCTGTTTTATCCGCTTTTTCGGCCTAGGATCTCCCTCGGCTCCTGCACCATGAAGCTCAACTCCGTGTCCTCTTTGGCACCCTGCAGCTGGCCCGAGGCGGCGTCTGCATGCTGCTCTCAACGCCTGAGAGCCTTCCGAGAGCGCAATGTTTGCGCTCAGAAGAAACACGTCTCAGCCATGCCCGGCCTTTCTTCTCAATGCGATCAGAAGCCATCCAAACCATCCAAGCCATCCAAACCATCCGATGGCGAGAGTCTCAGTGTATTCTTTTGTGCCAGGTTGGCAACATGCACCCATTCGCGCCCGAGAGCCAGACGGTCGCACAGCTTTGGAAAGAGCGCTGAAGCCAGAATGTTCAAAAAGGACAAGTTGATGCTTCAACAGCAGCTCAATTTGCTGCTACTCTCGAATAGACATCCGTGCTTAGGCAAAGGCGATACTTCTAGAGCAGTCTGAGTCATTTTTTGTTGCTGAGTGTGTGTATCATTAGTTCCTTATACATATCGGTGAGGGTGTGTGTATATATATGTGTATATGTATGTATACATTGGGTCTCCTTCTCTGGATCACATCACCTTGCAAAGCAGTCTGGTGAGAGATGAGTGAGGCGGGCTATCGGGAGATGTTGACATCCCTGGAGAAGTACCTCATCAGCTGCACAGGCGGCCCTGGACAAGCACAGTAGCCGAAGAGTCCAGAATTCAGTGTACAGCAGCGGTCCACAATGTACAGCAGAGCACTGTCTGTAAAATGTGAAAAATGTTGTCTGTGCGTTTGGGCAGGGAGTAGGCATCCTCAGTTGGGGGCCTTTGGGGAGTTGGAATCCTAAGAAGGAAAACGTCCATGTCGGAGCGGAACTGTTGCAGGCTTTGATGCCTGCTCCCTGCAGCCGACCAGCGGTGCCTCCGGCGAGCCGCTCGAAGAGACAGAGCATGAGACTTTGAACGGGGCTTGCTTGTAATCTTGTCTTGTGGGTTGTTTCTGCTTGTTTCTTGTACTTTCTTGTAGCAAGACACGGCAGCGTTCAGCGACAGCCCCCCGAGTATGCCCCCCTAGTATGTCTATAGTCTTAGAGATATTATATGTATATTATACATTACCCAGTCATACCTGTTCCTGTCACTGTGCAAGAAAAAGTCCTCGCCCTCTTTGCGAACTGTACGCGACTCATCCTTTTCTTCCGAGGTATGCGGGCTTGCTGGTGATCAAGAAGTACCTCGAGGCCAAGGGCGAAGGCAGGGCCAGAACCAAACACGCCATTTTGTGCCTTCAGAGTCCTTCAGCAAAAGCTTATCCCGGCGAAATGTCCGGTCACGAAGCCCAGATTCAACACACATCTGCAAGGAAAAAGAGGTTCTCTGATTAGCATCTTCAAGGGTCGGTCCATAATGCCGGCCGGCCTCACATGACAAGAAGGTGCACGTGATTGCAGGTGGCTCTCAACCCCTGCCAGAATCTTTCCCGATTGCCCATCAGGCCACCGCGATGTGTGCATCATCCCAAGGCACCTTTGCCACAGAATTAGCCATGCTTCTGCAGTTTTGCTTTGTCTTGCGGTGTCCACAACTTGTGTCAACTTTGGTTGCCGTGACCGCCGGAGAGCCAACAACCACACACAGAGACACGCACAACACCACACGACTCGACGCAACACGACACAGCACAGCAAAGAGGCGCTGGAAGCACAGAGAGCATTGAGAGCCTTGCTGGGATTTGAGTGGCTTGGGTTTTGCTTCTGCTTTGCATTTGCCGCGTCAGGTCTGCGCACGGCACGAACCCGGCTTCTGCGGCCTGCTGGGCTTAAACCTACCCCAGAGTTTTTCCACCATCAGACAACGATGTCTGGCATCTATATATACATATATAGATATGTATATAAGGATATACATATGTAAATGTATATGTATATGTATATGATCACACATATTCATGATTCTTCTGGATAGGGTCACAGGTGAGCTTGCAGAGACGCTTGCTGCATTTTGCTGCGTAGACGAGGGCCTAGGATCTTGTGCTTGCAGGTTGCAGCATAGGACCACTTGGCCTGCATCTCTGTGGTGTTGTTGGTGTTGGATGTGTTGGTATACCCGGCCGGGCATGTGACATCCTCTTTGCAGAACGCCTTGCAGGCTATGTGCGGCATGGAGATCAAGTGGATCGAGGCGTGAATCTGATGTGTCGGGGAAGACTCGAGTAACCGAAAGCTTTTCAACGCCGAGGGCTTGGGATGAGATTGTCTGGCACATGGCACTTGTGCATGTTGTTATGCCAATGTGCACCCCGGTTCTATCGACATCTTTAGAACTCGTGAAAGACTTGGAGGATTCTCGGGGCATGGACCTCGAAGAGTTCAAGGCGCTCTGCGCAGAGTACAAGGACCATGGGGAAGGTGCTACTGCAAGGGGCTTCTGGCGCTTCTGATCATCCTTGTTCTCACTGTGTGTTGTGGTTCTCGTACCACATCCCATGCTAACAATCCCAGCTACGGGGTTTATCCATCTGCTGAAGACCCTGCCATGAGCTCGCACTGAGATCGTAGTCGCTTTAGTCATTGCGAACATGACAGGACCGGCTGGCGTGCTTGATGGTCACTTACCCCTCCACGCGGGCCTTCTTCGAGGACAACATTCAGGACATGGGGAATGGGAAAGGAGAACATCGATACATAGTGGCAACATGTGGCAACATTCTGAGCTGATTGCACAGATCGAGCAGGTGCCACCAAGGATACGTAGATACTCCGCAAGGAGGAAATGGGGCAGTCAGATTTGAAACCAGAGATTTCGGCCCGATGATGCCCAATCCTCCCATCCTTTAGGAGATTTGCGCCACCGTCCACGAGAACGGTGGGCAGGTTTACATGGACGGCGCGAACATGCCCTCTGTCCTGGAGTTTGTAGGGTTTAGGAATGTCACCTTGTAACTCTTTCCATTGTCTTTGCACGTTCTGAAGTTTGCAGAATCATGCTATGGAACATGAATGAGGGCATCCTGGAAACAAGAGGGCTCTGGCCATAGACTCTCAGGAATGCTCAGCTGGGCCTGACGTCCCCGGGCATCATCGGCGCCGACGTGTCCTTGGGGCCGAAAAAAGCGTCCATGACTTCAGGGGTGAATCATTGTACCATCCGCGAACATGCTATCGTTGGCGGCGATCACAAGCGACCACATGTAGCCTCGCTGACCAGCGAGGTGCCACTTGAACCTGCACAAGACCTTCAGCATCCCCCACGGAGGTGGCGGCCCAGGTCTCGGCCCCATTTGTGCAACTCGACAGCCTGAGGACTCATGCAGGGTCATGCAGGGCAGGAGACGAAAGGAGGCGGCGTCGTCTCTTCGTGTGGAGGTTTTCTTTCTGTAATCGTTGTAAAGTGTGTCTGGGAAATGCATGAAAGTTTTGCGTGGCACGTGCCAGCCGAGGCGAGGAAGCACTTGGCACCCCACCTGCCAGGCCACTGCGTGGTGAACCCTTCCACAGCGGGCTCCGACCCAGCCACATGGATTTTAGAAAGACTCAAAGTCTTTTCGACGGTATAAGACATATCGGCAAGCCCTAGAAGTGCCATCAAACATGTGCGTCATATGTCTCTGTGCGTATACATATATATAGGTGTACACTCTTCATCTGTGCTGCATATGAATGAGTATAGATGCGTAACAGTAATTTAGGAGCCTCCGGCTCAGGCCGCCATTGTGCACCGACCCCCCACCCCCCCCCCGCGTTTCAAGGTTTTTGGGGGTGTAAGGGAGGGGAGGGGGAGGGTTGCCTCCCCCAAAACCATCCAACACGCCGCCGGGGTCGGCGGACACGAAGCTGCGTTAACATATGTATTCCATACACGTCTGTACGTCTGTATGTCATATATCATAGATAAATCCACTCCAAGGCTGGTGCCGTCTCGGCAGCTCCGTGGGGACAGGTGCGGTTTTGAGGGTTCATCGCGGGAACCAAGGGGGTCCCCGATTCAAATGTCAGGCAATGTCATGTAATGTAAGGGTGTTCATGAGAGTCTTTCATAGAAGGTAGGTACTAAGATCCGGGAATGGTTCTTACTGAAGGAAAAGTTTATTCAGTTCTCTTCATTGCAAATGCCGAGTTTACTAGGAGCTCTTTAGCAACACACGCTTTTTCAGTGAATTAAACAAGACTCTTACAGGGTTTTCATATACAGAAAGCTTATCTTTTTGAACACGCTATTCAGTATCCCATTCATGCAGTGGACACTCTTCGAGCAGTTAGGACGTTCATGAAATTCTGATAGGGGTACATCTTCGAATGTGAACAGTACATGAAAACTTCCACAACCCCACAAACACCAAATCCAAACTTTCTTGGAGCTTCTCCCAGGAGATTTTGGGCTTTTGGATTTATTCAAGGCATAGAGAAGCACAAGCCTGGCCAACAAGAGCACATGTTTGGGTCCGTGCGATGTCAAGAGTGTCCCGCAGGCCGGCATCGCGTGCATCCCATGGCTGCTTGGACTGCTTGGACTCAGTCAGACTATTGTGGTTGCAGCGTCTCAGCACGGAGGCATGTGGATGCATCCAGCGCAGTCGATTTTGTGCTCTTGTGCGCCGTTGCGAGCTCCGAGTCGAGGGGGAGTCGAGGGAGCCCATCATGAGGAGGTCTCTAGTGGAACAGCAAAGCCATAACAATGACCAAAGCCGAAACAAAGCCACTGCTGCAACTACCACCACATCAAACCCCAGTAGGCCACCGCAAGCCCCAGCGTTGAACCTCCAAATGCCTCCGAGGATGTTCTGCACCATGTTGGGCAAGCAGGGCGTGCTGGATAGTGGGCGATACTCCATCCTGAGACTTGGAATGCCTTGTCTGCAGCTCTCCGTGGCAAGATGATGTGATGTTTGTCTGGAGTCTCGTTGATAGGCCTGGTGTGGCCACTGTTACAGCAACAAGGCTGCTGCACCCTTGCACCGTGTTCGTGAGCCTCTGAGAATGAGCCCAGGAATGCCAACTACATGAAGTCTCGGCTTGAACCTCACTTCGACATCGCTCCCACCAACAAGAACAACCGATGTGCGCACGAGCCTGCTGGCCCTGTGAGATTCCTAAGCACGGCCAAGTGACAGGCGGACGAGGGTCACACGATGGTCACACACGCTCAGAGTTCTGTCGAGCAGGGCTTTTTGTGTTTTCGTCTGGAGAAATGGCGGAGCATCTTTCAGCCTTTTCAGGTCCGTGGTATCGTAGACTGGAAATGAGAATGAAAAAGAGTCAAAGAGTACGCGCAAGTTCCACTTCCGGGAAGCTGAAAGCTGAGGTTCATCATGGACTTCTCCGAAATCCGGAAGAGGTCTGGCATCGTCGAGGAGGACATCGCGAAGCGGCTCCAGGTGCTGGGGCCCCCACCTCTTCTTTGCTGGGCCGCTGATTTCTGCTTCTGCTAAGGACTATGGTTTCCATGCACCGACCATGTCCTGGCCCGTTCCTCACTCCTTGATGATCGAGCCCACCGAGTCCGAGGAGCGACAAAGCATGCCTTTGTGCTTCCAAATGGGGAAGCAGGCTACTTCTAGACTACCTAGAGATACCTAGAGACTCCACCTACTCTTATACTAGGTATCTCATGGTATCTCGTACTTTCTTCGTTGTCCTCTCCCCTCTCCTTCCAGGACAAGGCCGAGCTGGACCGGTTCTGCGACGCCATGATCTCCATCCGGAAGGCCCAGATGCACGCTTTCGGGTGTTGCGTGTTCTTCTCAGAGGACATGAAAGAAGACGGCGTGCAAATGCACGCACAGGCTTTTTCACCGAAGCACTGCTGCTCTTACAATCCGTCACTCAGAGACACCTGCGCCTTGCGCGCTTGCAGGAGATTGCAAAGATCGAGTCTGGCGAGTGGCCGGCCGATGACAACCCCTTGAAGAATGCACCCCACACGCAGCAGGAGGCCAGCTTCGGCTGAAGTTGGACAGGTTGTTCTAATCTGGGTCAGAGCCAGAAACCTCATTGTCTGTAAAAGGGTCCGCTAGTGCTGGAATCTTGGGAGCGACCTGAACAGCAATTCCCAACGGTGAAGACACGTTGCAGCGACTGCGATCTCACTGTTTCACAGCGTTTCGTAGCACCCTGTGTAGGGATTGTGTAGGGCCTCGCGTTGGCTAGAAGCTGTGTTCACAGTGTTCAGACGAAGCATCAGAAGTGGTGGAGCACCCACGGACCCCTGGAGGTTTGCGCTTCTGAATGGAAGCACTGTGCCCCGTCGTGCAGATGAATCTGTGTGCTCAGGCTTCACCTCTGCAAAGCTTCGCCTCAGCACTCCTGACTTAGGCAAAAAGAGGCAACACCCCGGGGCAATTTCAGCCACTGAGCCCACATTCTCCCCCCCACCCACTCTCCCCCCCCCCCGGTCACCAGCTCAGGCTACTCTCGGGAGGAAGCCGCCTTCCCCGCGGCGTGGCTGCTGAAGCGTGGCACCTTGGGTGGAGAGTGAATCTGACAGGATGTTAATACAGCGCCCCACTCTTCGCCTCCATTTTCATCCCCGGCATCTTGCAAGGCATACTTGAAGCACACTTACTCGTAGGGCACGGGAGAATTGCGCTACAGATGCTGCACCTAACTTCAGCCGAACTGCAGTGCGAGTTAAGGCAAGTACTGGCCGACAGTCGCTCGTGTCGACAACTCTCTTGGTGACCGAAAACTCAAGCTGCGCTTGGAGGCATAAATTCCCAAGGGCCCTTGAGCCGTATCTCTTGTCTTAGCGTGTTGAATGAACATGGGCTTGGACAATCCGTCCAGGCCCCTAATCTCGTTGAGGATTGGGGGGAAGAGATGAGGTAAAAATGCAAGCTGGCTTTTGCCAAGGAGAGGTATTCAGCCACCCCTCAAACCTCTCATCTCTCGCGCAGTTGCAAAGCTATGCGACTCCGCTGATGATACTCGTTGATAGCTGTTCATCGTAATGACTGTTCATCGTGAGCTCGCTGCTATCACTTCAAGACTAGCAGGCAACTCATCATACCTCAGCAGGTCCTGGCGAAGGCCAGGAGTTTGCGTTGGTAGCAGCGGCGCTCTGTGAGTGTTGTAGGCCACTGCCGTGGCTGGGCAACCAAAGGGTCAACGGACACGAGAGAGCTTTTCACGAGCCGTTTTATCCAAGCACCAATCATTTTTCTAGCGCTCGCAGATCCAAGTCGGACGTACCACCGCAGCAGTGGAGTCTTCGACGTTGAGTCGACAACTCTTTACGCGACCTCAGCAAGTAACGCTGAAATTCTCGTGCGACAGAAAAGGATTTGCTTGATCGGGGCTGGTGACTAGCGGTGCTGTAATAAGTGGTCTCATGCGGATTGTCACGCGTGCTTGTTGGTTGCTGTAGCCTGATTGGAGATGTACTGGCTGTGTATGCATGATATGGATTTCATAATGCCACGTGGAGGCTCCTGGGTTTGAGCGTTCTTGATGTGTGCTTACGTGTGGGTTGCCACACCCAGTAGTATGAGCGGTCTATTGGCCAGGCGCAACGAGAAGGAATGAAGAGCACGATGGGGGTTGCAGTTGACAAATCATGACGGGGATTCTGAGCATTCCCTGCTGGCTTTTCATCCCAGTGGCTTTTGGGGTTTCTGGCTTGAATTCGCGGGCGTGGCCGTGTTCAGCCATTCATCCATGAATGTTTGGGGTTGTGCATGGGCTGACGGTGACAGGGGCAGCGAAGCCTTCAGCCGAGATCCTGGCTCCGACGCCTAGCACGGTTCCCAGCTAGATGAAAGCAGTTTGCGCCACAGGAATGGCGCGAAAGCAGTGTCACGACAAGATCGAGCATGGCATGAACGAGTCCAGAGCTGTGGTCATCTGATCAGCGAACGCTCGCTGTCAGAGTTATAACTTGTGACAACTTGTGGACTTTTTCCCGGAAGACAGCATCAACCAGCATTGTGTTGAGGTCAGCACGGACCACGCAGGGTTTGACCGCAGCACGATCTTCTTTTTCCGAGGTGCCAGCGCCTCCAAGCCTGCAACCGGTGCAACCAGTGCGGCTCTTCCGAAGTCCGAGAGCGTGAAGGGCGCAGAAAGTGCAGAAGGCTGAGTGCTCAAGGTGACGAATTTTCGTGTGAGTTTTGGCAGCTTGCCGCAGCTTGTTCTAGCTTGATCGGTTTGATCCCATGCCTTACCCACTGCACCCCTGGCCCCTGGTCCGCGATACGACCTGGCGTCGGCAGGCCATGATCACCCAAGCAGCTCCAGCCACGAGGGCAAAGCTCCCACGCCAGGCGTTACATTTCGTGCACTTACAGCTTAGTTCTAGTTTTGCTCCTGAGTGGTGAACATATGTTAGTCGGATATCGCTGGTTTTAAGTAGGAACTAGAAGCTCTAGTGTCTGGGCAGACAGGTCGAAGAGCACGTGCACGTGCGGGGGTTGGGGTATTGGATTGATTTCGAGACTGTGCAGGCAATGCAGGCAGCGGTGATAGCAAAGAAGGAAGCCGTGGCCAAACGAGCTAAAAACACCGGCTGCTCCCAGTGCTGGAGTAACTGCTTAGCTCTGCCGGCTCTTTAGCTGCTTTACCCTCTCTGACATGTGCTGCCCTAGGCTCCATGCTAAACCGCACCGGGGGATTCTCACTGCTCGACCTTGTCAGGCCCATCGGCATCCAAACCCGATCACAGCGATGCGCCAGCTGCGCAGCATGATCCAGGCGCTGCTGGCTTGGGAGAGAACTGGAGAGAATGAGCGGATGCCCGATAGTCCAGAATTTGGAAGCCGGTTTCTGCGTGCAGCATGGAGCATACAGTATCCATAAATGTACGGCGCTGAACACAAAGTACTCTTGTGGCTCGCGGTGTCTGATGTCGATGTCTGCAAGTTAGAATTTCGGATGGCGACCCAGCAAGCAATACAGACGCTGTATGCCGCCTTTAGGTCACGTGCCTTCTGTGCGCCCGGTACGTCCCTGTGTTCGGAAGCGACCTCCGCGGTTGCATCTGTGCCAGGCAAAGCCAAGGGCAAAGGAAAAGGAGGTGGAGAGCAGTTTGCATTGTGCATTTTCAGTGCCTTCCATGGTGCATTCCAGTGCATAGATGATCCGAGAGGTGTCAGAGCATCCACACCACTCTTGCCTTGCCAATCTTGGACAGCCCGCGGAGGTCTTGAGGATCCGGGCAAAGGCAAGGGGAAAGGAAAGGGCAAGTCGACACATCGGCACGGAACCTTGGCGACTACTCAGCCCTTGCCCCCCAAACTCCCCAAAACTCCCACTCCCGGCATGTGAACGATGACATGTTCGAGGCTTGAGCTGGCAACAGCTCGAAGGCAATGAGCTGTTTGGACATGTGCACCGGAATTGGAACAAGATTCTATGTTGAGGCTTTGTTGCAGCTGTAAAATGGGGCGCCCGCAGAGGAAACATGGTTTGCCGTGATTGGATCTGGCAGACGGAGGGGTTGTGAAAGTATAGGCAAGCAATCTCTTATGTACTTAAGAGCAGTATTCAACAATTTGTACGCGGGCGCTCTGAAGAGTGCAAGGCCCAAAGTGCAGAGTCCAAAGCGTCGGAGTTCCGGTAGCGTCATGGACCATCATGTAGCAGCCAAAGCCCAGCACCAAGAGAAGAACAATCCAAGCCTCAATCCTGTTGAGACCTAGCGCAGCCCCTTGCTGCCTTGGCAAAGGGCTCTCTTCCAGTGTGTACACAACAGCTCTTTGCAATTGACCCGTGACGAGGACGGTCGCAGAGCCGTGGGCGCCATCACCATCATCACCATCACAACGCGCACCATCACCACCACCACCACCACCACCACCGTCACCACGCACGTCTGGTCCTCAGCAAGCATTTGCTTCAAAAGGCTACGCTGCTACACTCCTTGCACGCCTCTCAGTCTTCGCTTGGCCGCACGGAAATAACTATTTGTTAATGTGCTGCACGCCTCGACATTGGAGCACCCCTAGCGCCCGCCGAGACTCTTTGCCAAGAAGTTTGTCACAGCGGCGCCGGCTTAAACGGCTGCTGCATCGCCACGGCCTCACGAGTCCGTTCCATTAACGCTTGACCTAAGCGACCCAAACCTCAAGCTGTTTCGGCATTTGCAGACATGTGCAGAATTGTGCAGACACGTGCAGACATGTGGAGACTCGGAAACGCAACCATGCAAACATTCCACTCCGTTTCTCTGAATTTCGACCGGGCTCTTTTGTCCGCGAGTCTGGCATGCAAGCCCTGTGCCGTTCAACTACAGTGCAGCCGCAGCTGCCTGTGGAGTTTTGCGCCGCTCTTCCTTCCAGGTGCCCGGCAGCTGCGCTCGCACTCTCCCAGACGTTCGCGAAGTTTGCCATGGAGTGCCTTCCCTTAACAATTTTGGATGCGCTCACGTCCCAAACAGAGGAGAGCCACACAACACCTGACCTCAAGTACCTAATTCTGCATGTCAGAGACCTACCTGGCACTGCCGCTGCAATCGTGTGAATAAGTATACGAACTTGAACAAGGCAAGAACTCACTCACAGAAAAGTATGTGTGATTATGCATGTCTGTATGTGTGATTATGTGTGTGCGCTACCCTCAAAAACACACACCGGAATGTAGATTGAAACCCTCGTCGCGTGTGGGAACTTAGGGGGCGCATTATATCTTAATGAATAGTATAAGAACTAGCTTAAGCACATCTTCGACTATAAGAACTCGTTTGTGGTCTTGTGACTTGGAGATCTTGAAGGTTGTGAAGGCCTTGGATAAGACCCTCGCAGTTCATGTTTATGACATTCTCGTAAGCGTTTGGGACCCTACTACCGTTGTTTCCGATAAGGCCGTGCCTGGATGGAATGCGAAGCAAACAATCGAAATACTGCTAGGCCCTGCTTGGCCCACCCGTGCCCTCAGGTGATGACGAAGGGGACGTGCGACGCTTTACACAGCTGCCTTCGCAGGCCCTTTCCTGCAAGAAAGCTGCGACGGAATCATTCCCCGCGTTTCACGATACAGAGAGCGTCTGAAGGCATTTAGTCAGCGAGCGACCGCACTTTCCTAGATGTGTTGTTTCTTGCAATGCTTTGCATGCCGTCATCTGACTGTGATGGTTTGGTAGCCAAAAGTTGCTGCGGCCACTTGCTAACGTGCTATTGCTTGCCGGTCGTCTCCAATGAACTCCGAGACTCCTATAGCAGTGAGGATTCCTGGTGAGCCCCCAGGCCAGCAGCCCAACGCGGCGCATCGCCTCGCTACAACGGAAGGCCCGCGTCCATGTTCTGGGATCCCTACAAGGTCACGAGAGCGACTCCGGAGCAAACTCAAACTGAAGACCGTTGCCGTTGCATGTCATATTGTTTGCATCTTGTTGCTGCCTTGTGGGACCCTGAGGTCGGTCTGCTGCAGGTCGGCACAAGTCCAGGCGCCGCGACACAGCGAGATCTAGCGACATCGGGCGATTAGAAGGAGTCTCGTTGAGCATCTCAGACCGCCCCCTCGCAGATGGGAAAGCAGAGGTTGTTGTTCCTTTAGAAGTTGTGTTTTCCCACACAGACTTTGGACCTTTGGGCTGTTTGGGAGCCACGGATTCAGGATGATTCAGGGCCCATGTGCTCGACTTCCCGCGCGAAACACATCTCCCTTTGTCACACTGCAGCCGTGTGATGTGCAGTGAATGTCAGGCCAGTATGGAGGTCAGAGGGTGCAGACGGTTGTCGGACGGCAATTTGTAAGTGTGGACTTTGTTCGCTTGACCGT